CTAGATTTCTGGTCAATTTCACCTTTGTTTTTTTATAAATCATCTTTTCCTCCCAATTATCGTCATAACTTACACATTTTTATTCATTTATAGATCGGTCTTTTCCTCCCCACAAACATTTTTCCTTCATAAGTGAATTGACACCGTAAAGCTCAAATTCCAGAATCCTTTTCTAACCGTAATTTTTCTCTACAAAATTCAACAGACTGTATCATGCAAGACCAGAATAGATTTTCTTTTTTTAAAACACTCTATTGATGTATGATGTTGCGTATGTATGTCTGTATGTCGTCAGTTGATCGATTTGAATTGAAGAAATATTCTCAAAATAGCGGATAAGTTTTCGATAATTTTGAGAGTCGTTGCAAACCCTAGGTTTATCGCACCTCTTGCAAAAGGTATACAATCGTATCAATGCGCCAAATCCCTTTGTTTTCAACATAACCTGACAAATCGAAGGCTATGTTGGGAAAAACTGGTCCCGATAGGCTTATTTGGGCCTCTGATATTTTGATTTTACATTTAAAGGGGAAGTTTTGATATTTTGATATTGCAGTTATGATGTGTGGTACAACGAATCTTCAAAACTTCCTCGTTTTTCGCTGCCTGAGAACTGCAATTATAATCTAACGATTTTTCGCAGAAAAAGTTTACGGAATGTAGTAAGTTACGCACACATCTGGCACATTTAATGTGCTAAGTTTTTGCATAGAACAGCTTCGACTAGTTCGAATTCACTCATTCGGAAAATTCGCCATTCTAGGCGCCATAACTTAGACTACAATCCGTGCATCCATGCTCGCATCTCCTTCTTAGCAATTTGTACGAATTTGTACGAAGCTTTTAACTTTTGCATCTTTTCGTATTACTCCACTTTCCATAAAATGATTAGAGTTGAACAACATAGAACTCTTCAAATGTTTTAAGTCATCTTACGCCTCTTCAGCCCCTAAAGAGGGCGTCTTGCAGAAACATTGGGCAATAAATTATATCATCTATAACAACCTGTACGGCATAATATAACAATGACATTCATCCACAAGTCTTTAAATGTTTTTGCTCAAAAAATTATAAATTCTACATTAATTGCTGCTGCTACTCAAAACAACGGAATTTGATATTTGTATTTTTATTTATTATCTTGATTTTATCTTCTCTGTTAACTTTCATATCATCTACACTAGCTTCTTTTACTTTCAATTGTATACACTTACCCAAATCTAGTCTAATCATCTTATCAAAGTCGGAATAAGCAGCGATTAGTAAAAGAGAAATTGTAATTTGCTAAACTCGTGATTGATATTTCAGTAAAAACGACTTTCAATATGCTTCATCTGAATAAAACGTCTGATAAGCTTTTGAATTTGTAGGTATGTAAGCTCGAGACTGAAGGAATCAAATGTAATAACGATATTGAATAAAAAATAGCTTTTCGTACTGCTCGCTTGATGATCAAAAAATTGCAGATTTTTGCGAATTTTTTAATTATCTATTAGTTCTAGATTCATCTGACAAGGAATGCATATTTAGTTGAAGTGGCCTTTTTAGACGGGATTTATACAATATTGAAGGACATAAAATGCTGATTCCATCTGCCTTCCTTATCTGCAGAACATTTATGGGCGAGGAGTTATGAGCGTTTATTGGAGCAAAGAATTTAATGGCAAGTAGGACAATATAGCCCTAATACTTTTTCTAGCTCTTCAATGGAGTAGCGATAATCATCAAAGCACTACATTCAAAAAATACTCTAAAACTAAAAGTATTTCACACTTACTTGCATTATTTGAAGGCTGTTAAGTTTCTAGCAATTCATTTAATCTAAAAGCACATTCAATTTTGTTTTAAGAAACGCTCATAACTCCTCTTCCATAAAGGTTCTGCAGATAATGAAGGCAGATTTGGAATCAGCGTTTTATGCCCTTTAATAGGAGCAGTTTCACTATTCGTAAGAAGTCAGTGAAGAGATCCTATGCGGATCTTACAAAACTTCCATGCGAGTTTTAGTTGAATTGAATTGCCTTGAAGCTTCAATAATAAACGGCACAACTTTTCTTGCGGTAGTTTTTGTTGAGTCGCTTCATTATGAAGTCAGTCGTTTCTCAAAAATAGTGCTCGCAAGTGGTTCAAAGCATAGAATTTCAAAAGAAATCTGGAGATTCAATACAAGTGGAAAAGTTTTGGTGAAATGATCCTTACCAAAATTTTTTTCGAAAAGTGCAGCGGGCCACCGGTGGCCCACGTCATCAGCATCAAATTAATGACACATATCGTTGGACTTAAGCTCGATAATGGGGAAAGCATCGCTGATTCAGAGTTTGTTTTCCAAAATCAACGGTGACTGTGCAATTCTTGTGAAATGAGGTGATAACGACCGAAATGAGTGGGGCGGTTTGTTTACAAATTTAATCAAATTTTGAAAAACAAAAATCATGGCCATTTTGGAAAACATTGCTAACGACTCTTTGCAGCTGTGAACGCTGAAAGTGCAAACACTGTTGTGAAGGATGAATAAGCAATTAGCTGGCTTGCGAATCGACTCAGCTCTGCAATCTCAGCCCCATTTCACTGCTTTTGGTCTTTTCATCCTTTCTTCCTTATCGAAAACTGCTGTCGCTTACTTCCGCTGCTATATACAGAAACAAAAGCGTTTGCTGAAATTGCAGCAATTAAAGAGATTGTTCATGTCATGTCGTCTGAAATGTTTTTTATGTTTTGATTCATGGGTTAGAAACATTTATATTTTCTCAGCCTTAACCGTGGAAATTTCCTCCACAGCAATTTCATTGTTTTCTCAAATTGTTGAGGACAGCGTAAACCACCTGGTCGGCCAAATCACTTTCCAAAAATCTTGTTTTAATCATAATCGGAAAAAATAAGTTGTTTATTACAATCACCCAGGCCTCGACACGAGCTGGCACTAGAGAAATTTCAAAAAGAAGCCCCCTTTAATCTTGAAAATTTCGTACGAAATCTTGTTTGACCCCAACTAAGGGTAAAAACCCTCAAAAAACGAAACGTCGACTATAAAAAGCTTTTTTCAATTCATTTTGTTTTTTCAGCCAAAAAAACGACATCGCATTGCTTTTTCTCCCAAAAACGATATTTAGCTTGACACTATCAACTGTGCCAAGCCCTGGTCACATCTGTTTCCCTCCTTCCCCTAGAGTACAAGATCTACGAAATCCCACAAATTCAATAATGAAGGGGCTCTTCAAAATCAATATATATTATTCTTTGTATATGTCTTTGTATAGTTTTGTAGATCTATTCAGAATTACTTGGATTGCACTTACGTAATTATTTTTCGAAAGTATAATTGAGTACATTTATTTGTATATGAGTTACTAGAAAGATAAAAAAGCAGCTTCAATAATCGTCATTTTTTTAGAACCTTGCAAATTTGATATTTCAATAAATATTATTGCAAGCTTTCACTCCCTCGCCAACATCATATCTGTTGGAGAAGCAAAATTATTTTAAAAATCGCGCCTCAATCAATAAATCAATGGTTAGGTGATTATTTTTCACAGCAGTCCTCGAAAATGTGCTTCACTATGTAATGGAGGTCGCTAGAAAAGAATGCAATTCGACATTTTCTCCATTTCCAGCGCAACTAGGCAATTATTCAGCTCAATTGTCTGGAACTATGTAAACATTGCAGTGTTTTCTTGTCTGAAATGTCTTATATAACGGACCGGACACTGATCTTTTATGGAAAGATCACTTTAAGCGCCCACTTTCTCTCAAGGGAGATTTGGTCACAGAATCTTGATGCCTCAATTCTCCTTGTGAATCTGAAAGACAAATGTTCACATCCTCGTCCATGCAAACCTCATATTAAGCTATCAGAGTTTGGAGCTCAAATCCTGATCAAATTTGATTTGCCATAAGAAGTTAATTTCGATTTCTTAGGGATGCGACACTGATTTTGTTGTTTTAAGCGATATTGTTCTTGTTTGAACTAAGCAAGGGATCATGAAGCGAATCGATCAATGCAAATCAGTCAGTAAATGGATTCATTCATTCTCATTGGAACTTCCCCCGATATTTCGGCTTGTTCGGAGGTCCGGCCATCCAAACTATGTTTAATCGTATATTCCTGTGCATTTCTTTTTCAATGTCTCTTTCCCTTTCATTTTTCTCTTCGAGACCAGTTCTTATGTGAAAATTGTGTAACCATTCGGTTCAGAATTTTCAACTTTACGGTATTTGCGCACAAGAGTGAAATCGCATGTATAATGATTACTTTGCAGCTCGAATTTTTTTTATACAGAGGAGATTTATTCATTCGGCGAAGATTACTGGCTTTTGCTCGTGAAAACTTTCCTAGAAAGAACGCGCCCAGCTTGCTTGGGAACTCGTACAGATTATCGTATTTATCATTGGATACGAAAACTAAAGTGTGATAACTATTTACAAGGCACACTAGACGGTGCACAGAATACAAAAAAATGCGAAAATGCCAATTTTTACAAAATCTTTTCCCTGACTAAGGGCATGCTTAGTAATCAAGAGCTTTTTTGCAGCCTCCATAATTTTTTGCCCATTTGATTGACCAGATGAAGTTCGCGGCTAAAAAAATTTTTTGCATCTGCAAATAATCAGCTGATCCAATCTTGGATCAATTTGAGAACAAAAGTAGATGTCCTATGGATTGTAGGTATGACACCGATGCCAACGTCGTTCCCTTCGCCACATCTCTAACAGAGCGACGGCCGGTTTAGTCGCAAAGGGGCGCAGCACATGCTGTTTTTGCCCCTATCAACTTAACATTCGGTCTGTCCTACAGTTACGTACGTCATCGATGTGTACAATGACGGACTTAGCCTCCGAACAGGCCAACATTCCGACTTTGGTCACTTTTCTGCCCATATATAGATGATTCGCTCAAATCGCGTCATTTCTGCTTTTCTCCGATTTGTCCTTGTGCTTTTGCGTTGATTTTTCTCGTTCATTGCTCCAATGTCACTTTTCGGGATTAGAGCATGATTTCTTGCAGATTTCCCTTCTCTTTCCAGTGGGTGGGTAACCATGCCGACCAGCGGTGACCAGGAGTATGGATGTACACTGGCTGAGCTGCGACAGCTCATGGAGCTTCGTGGTATTGAAGCCCTGGAAAAGGTTCGTTTCGGGTGGATCATATAACCAAAAAGCAAAAATTTACAATTTTATTTCGTCTCTAAAACTCTTGCAATGATACTTTGTCCTTTCGAGTTTTTTTTTGCCCAAACTTTTCACATCATTTCAATACTCTTTAATGGTCTTTCTCGAAAAGATTTGCACACATAAATCAAACAGAGAAACGGTTGTTTTTTGCCCTTTTCTCGCGCAAAACCGGATATCCTACCATTAACGCATTAAACCCCTCAATTACAAGTGGTTTGAAACGTTGTGACCATTGATGCATAGAGCTCGGAGGTTGCTGAAATCTGAGCAACAGACCGGGTTCATTCCATAAATTGAAAAAAAATTTGGTCGGGGCAGTTGAGTTGGTCTTTTAGCTGGGGAGGTTTACTTAATTCTTATATTTCTAGTCACTGTACTCAACGATCCGTTATAATAGTAAGTCAGTAGACATGAATGTAGAAAAAATATTGGAAAATTAGAAACTATGGAAAACGGAAATTATCCCACACTTCAGCACTCGTTTTCAATAAGAGTTCAAACAAAAAGCACTTAGATTTAACTCTAAAAAAATTGCTTAAAAGTAAAAAGTGTTTTTTATTTCCATTCTTGCTCTGAGATTAACAATTTACTTGCCTTTATCACATGTCAAAAATTGATCTTTCAACCCCAAACCAAAAATTACAAGCGCTCCAACAAATCTGTTGTCTACTTACTCGTTACCCCATTGATTATCACTCTGCAGATGTGCATTGTTCGATTTTTCTACCCAACCTTAACCAGTTTATAATTGACCAAATTAGTGCATTAAATGCGTCTTTTGTCAGTGGTATCGCTTTCACAAGGCAAAAGGCTGCAGAAAAGAAATTCTTCCCGATTTTCTGACAAAAACCATGCTTAAAATATTTTCTAAAATATTTTTTTCGCATCAGACATCATCATTCCTTCTTGTCATGAAGCCTGCAAGGCTCTGACATTTTCGGGGGCCGATGGTGACCTTCGGTGCATTGGCGAAAAGAATGCGGTTGAGTGTAATGGCCGTGATGAACGCTGAAAAGAAGCATAATGTCAAAACCATTATTGCAATAATGGAAAATTCTTGGGAAATTGCCTAGAAAGAAGGTCGCCGCTTATTCCAAGAAAAAATGATTGAAAATTGAAAATTTACGTAGGAAGAACAAGCACGTAAAATGTTGTAAGACGATATTCTACGCTTGGAGTAAGGCAGTTTTGTTCTAATTATTTATTTGTGTAGAAAAAAAGCGAATATAAAATTTGAGCACTAAGAAGTAAATTGGTACGATCCATTTTCTGGTTGATGGTGGAGGCTAGAATAACAAATGACTTTAATAAAAATTGCAAATATACAAAAAAGAAAGAATAATCACAAGAAATCGGAATTGAATTTCAATTTTGTTCCTCAAAAAAAAAACTTTGCGCTGAAGAACAGACATCTGGTCCGATTAAACTTACTTCCAAAAAATTTTACAATGGCTGCTTGGTGGTCGATAAATTTCCATTGACGCAAATGGAGAATGACAAAGTTCGTTTATCCTATTTGAAAAAACAAATTGATTTTCATATAAATTATCCAATCACTAGGGACCGGGATGCAAATTCGTTGCATAGACTTTTTCTTGAATCTCGCAAAAAGTCTTGTCATAGGTCTTTATCACATTTCCTTTGTAAAGAGAGACAAATTTCGGGAAATATTTAGCGGGGGAAGTGTAATCTTTGCTCCATGATGTAAATTCACATCATTGACTTTTAAAATGTGAGCATATCGGTGCTCAAAAAATTAGCAAATAGAAGAAAGTAAGACAAAAAATCACAAGCAACAGGATTCCTCTCAAATCCATATTATTTACCGATGTGCTAACAAAAAATATATATTTCCATTAAAGAAAGTAGAACAAACCCCGAAGAAAATTGCAATATTCTGGAGCATGAATTTACAAGATCCAGTGAATTTTTTTTCCAGATTACCGCCGACTATGGAAATGTAGAGGGTCTTTGTGCAAAATTAAAAACTGATCCGATAAATGGTTTAAACGATGACCAGCACGACATGTCACATCGACAACATGTATTCGGCAGAAACGAAATCCCACCTGCACCGTCAAAATCATTTTTTCGGTTAGCTTGGGAAGCACTTCAAGTAAGTCTGGATTTTTCATATTGTAAGAAATTTCTGCAAAAAATTCATATTCTAGGATATAACATTAATAATTCTACTCGTATCTGCAATAGTATCACTTGGATTATCGTTTTACAAACCACCTGAACATGTGGGAGGTAAGCCATAAAACAGTTTTCCTTTTGATTTCTCAGAATTTCTTATTTAACCCCTTTTTTATCCCTTTTCAAAAGAAGTGAGGTTTTTTACGGCTAGATGCTGTAGCCTTTGTGGTTTTTTAAAGTCAAACTTTATTATCAGAAGAATTCGAACTTTTGTGTTCAAAATGCACTAACCATTGTTTGGAAAGTAGAAATAAGACTAGAATAGAATAGGAATTGAAATGTAAAGCCACGTATATCGTTGAACAAATGACAGCGGCGCAAACATAAGAGCCGACTTGTTCATTTTTCGTTCAACTTTCGCTTCTTGAGGACAGAAAATGAGGAGGCCAATCAACTGCATCAAAAACTTTTCAAAAATTACTTATGCGATATCAAGTCCATCAACCACAGACTCAGGAAAACTGTGTCTAGCTCATTGCTTCAAAAAAAAACTGTTCATATAGGATTAGCAAAGACTGCAAATCCTTTGTGCACACTTCACGATGCCGTTCGGATTACTAACTAGTTTTCCCAGCATTTTTACCAGGTTTCTATTATCTTTTGATAAGAATCAAAAAGACAGACTCTGTGGTTTCCTGTATCCTACAAGTTGCTTTCCACAAATAATCGTCTATGCACCCATTTGTTGATCATCTAACTATTTTTACACGAGAAGAAAATTATGTCATCGAGGTTTACTGAATGAGCGCTTTCTTCGACTATTTTGTTGTCCTTTATAATTGAAACAGACACTGTTGTGGGATTATTCCAAGACTGTTGACATCTGTCTTTACATTTTCCACCTCATTGAGCGGCATCACGCTTCAGTTATTATAATTTTAGATTAGGTATCGTTTCTCCGGAACTTGCTCACTCAGCATAATCTCCCTTTTTAAACGCCTTATTAGCGCCTCGTTTTTTTTCTCCAAAAACCAAGACTATTTTTACTTACATGCTTTTTACGACGTTTGCGAAAAAAATCCGGGAAGTTAGCGATGAATTGAATAAAATCAATGTAATTGAAGTCCCAAAAATTTTTTTGATGCTGGCTACATTCCAGCTCATGATGATTCCGAGCAAGAAGCCGGCTGGATAGAAGGTGTGGCTATCCTTGTCGCTGTGATTGTTGTCGTTCTCGTTACTGCTCTCAATGATTGGTCGAAAGAGAAGCAGTTCAGAGGTAAGCGATTAACCTCAGTCAAGGTAAGGGGTAAACATTTTAAATCCCTTAGGGCTCCAATCGAAAATTGAAACGGAGCACAAGTTCTCGGTGATTCGAAGCGGCCAACCTATCGACGTAGTCGTCAATGACTTGGTGGTCGGAGATGTCGCACGAGTGAAATACGGTGAGTAAAAAAACTGAATATCCTGCTTAGAGTCTCAAAAACTTTATTCATTTACTCATTTACTTATTAAGTTCATAGGCAATTTACGGATTAGGCAAGTGCCGAGAAACATGGATACACATTTTGTATGAAAATACTTCTGAAATACTCTAGAACTTGATTATAAGAAAATTTTTGAAATATTCTATGAATACAATTTAGAAAATTACTTGAGCAAAAGTTTGGCTTTATCGTAAAACTGAGCTTTTGTAAACTACCTTTTATCGAATTGGTAAAAAATCGAATTTTGCTTAGGACCTGAAAAGCTTTATTTATCTAATCATTTATTCATTACATTCGTAGGCAATTGAAAAAAATTTTTTTTGGAAAATTATTTGAGCAAAATTTTGGCTTTATTGTAAAATTGAGCTTTTTTGTAAATTATCCTTTATCAAATTGAATTTTTATGAATTTTTGAATCCGATCAGCAATACCCTTTACAGAAAACCTGTAAATTTTTCTACTCAACAGACAGATTTTCCGCTCCAAGAATTTCATTTATTTACTTTGGAAAAATAGAACGGATGTACATAGTAACGTAACGAAACTGCACACGATTTAGGAGATCTTTTACCTGCTGATGGTATACTCATACAATCGAACGATCTTAAAATAGATGAGTCGTCTTTGACTGGAGAATCTGATCTGATTCGTAAAAGTTTTGACCATGATCCGATATTATTGTCTGGAACACATGCTATGGAAGGAAGTGGGCGGTAGGTTTATTTACTTCTTTTTATTTTGTCTTTTATCCTTTTCTTAGTTTTGCTTTCTTTTATCCTATGAAATCTTAAGATTCGTGATTACTGCCGTTGGGCTAAACAGTCAAACTGGAATAATCATGAGCCTTCTTGGTGCTACAAAGGAAGAAAAGAAAGAAGAAAAACCAGTAAAATTAGAAATGAATGGAAATGGTATGGTCTATATTTCTATCTCATATTCATGCAAATAATTTCTTCACCAGGCCATCCAGCCGCTTTGACGGCAGCGAACGGGTTGGTCAACGGTGAGAAGAAGAAGGAAGAGGAGGAGGCCTTATCCATCGAGGACGACACTAAAGGAAAATCCGTTCTTCAAGCAAAACTCTCCAACTTAGCTATTCAAATCGGGTATATAGGTAAGCTACACAAGTTTTCCTTTTTTCCCGAAATTTCGAGAAATCTTTATGCAGGTTCTATTGTTGCTGCTGCTACCGTATTAATTTTGATAATTCGACACTGTATCACTCATTATGCCATCAATGGCGAGACATTCCAGGTGAGCCTAAATTTGAAATTCCTTTTCGTTTGATGGAAATCGAATTCTGTACAATCTAATGTTTATTTTAGACTGCCGATCTTGCTTACTTCGTCAACTTCATCATTATCGGTGTAACGGTTCTTGTCATTGCTGTTCCAGAAGGTTTACCATTGGCTATCACTCTTGCACTTACCTATTCAGTGAAAAAGGTGAGTAACCCATTTATCCCCACTTACAGACTCAAATATTTTTGCAGTCTCTTTTTTCGCCATATTTGGTTCTTCCCATATAAATCACAAAATAATTTCCAAAGAGCTTGAGTGGCAATGTCACCACTTCGGTCAAACAGATCGTTTTTGCATTGTTCATTTATTATTTTTTTATCCTTTCTACCTTTCGCTTTTCAATTTTTTTTGAATGATTTGTTTGTCCGGCTGCTAAAAATCAACGGCATCTGCATCAATTTTTGAATACAGTCATTTCCTCGCAAATAATTTATCGCTTTTTTGACCAGAAACATTGCAAAAAAACGAGCTATGCACTCTTTTGTTTCCTCATGGTTGTAATCTAGTCACGAGCTGAGGTGCATACACTTGTTTTGAATTTTCGTAATCCTGGTCGGATATAGAATGTTAAAACAACACTAGTCGGATTATATGAAATACACAACATTTGCGAGCATTTGGAAACATTTAGTGATGAAATGGTAATATCAAAAAATTGGGTTTGAATAAGAGATATGCAGTGGGTTTGAGAGAAGATAATCGCTAACGCTGTGAAAAGATATCTAGACGAGCTCGAGAAGTGAACACAAAGTCAATTCCAGAATGTTATGGCTAAGATTTATAAACTAGTTGGCTTTCCCGGTCCGTTGGACCGTGGGCCGACGAAGGTCAACATCATTTAGTCCGAAGCGAGTTAAAGACTCACCCTACCTTTACTTCCTTTCTTTTTTTCTTCACTCCACCCTTTTCTCAATCTTGCTTCTGTTCCGAGTCCGGACAGAGGGCTTTTGCAATAGACTTGTCTTCTTTTTTAACGCACTTCGAAACACCAACCTCCTCAACGCGAAATGCAAGTGAGATCTGCGCCCCCTTTTACATGGTTATACGGAATAGACCCGATAATGTTAATAACCCTTCGTTTTCCTTGATGTAAGTAAACGAATCAATAAATTGATGGAAGCACTGGCCGAATCGCCGTAAAAAGTAGCCCATCGTGTGCGCAGGGGTTGAAAACATATGTGTACAGAATTTGGCCCCTCTTGGTTCACTCACAAAGTTTCTATTCGACACATATTTCACAGAAACATACTTACTCACAAACTTTGAGTTTTATGTATGTACAGAATATCAGTGAAAATGAAGTTTATTTACTGCATACCGAAAGTTTCGCCGTGGGAATAATTTTAGAAAGTACCCAAAAGCTTCGTATTAAAAATCAATTAGCTATTATGTCTTCACAGATGATGAAAGACAACAATCTTGTACGACACTTGGACGCTTGTGAAACCATGGGTAACGCTACAGCTATCTGCTCGGATAAGACCGGAACCCTAACGACGAACCGAATGACTTGCGTGCAGCAGTACATCAACGGTCAGTCTCAATTACAGACAACAGTTTCAGCGTAACATTGGGAATTTTAGGTAGTTTTTACAAATCCCAACCACCCACTTATGCTGGTCTCGATAAGAGAACTCGTGAGCTGTTGATAGATGGGATTGCAATTAATTCTGGCTACAACTCGCAAGTGCTACCACCACCAAATCCAGGAGAGCAACGGAAGCAGGTATGGTCGAAGTTCCCCCCCCCCCTCCCCCCACCCCTCTTTCCCCATGACCTCATAGAAGCAATATAGATCCAAGACTTATTGAAAGCACATAATTTCAACCATCTAATTCAGGTCGGTAACAAAACCGAATGCGCCCTACTTGGTTTTGTTCTTGATGTCGGTAAAAGCTACGAAGAGATCCGTACAAGGCATCCCGAAGAGACTTTGTACAAGGTAGAATTTTACAATAATTGTTCTATAAAAGTATTCAAAATGCACCCTCCAGGTCTATACCTTTAACTCTTCTCGTAAATCCATGATGACTGTCATTGAGTTGGATAGCGGGATCTACCGGATTTACGCTAAGGGCGCCTCGGAAATTATTTTATCTAGGTAAACATACTTTCTTTCTAATCCTTTTGGTTTATAAAATTTAAAGATCTTAAAATGAAAGTCATGAATTGAATCTGCTTACTATAACCCCCTCTTCAGATGCTCCTACATACTTGGTGAAGAAGGCGTAATCAAGCCGTTTACCGCCGTTGACGCAGCCGAATTGACGAAAGAAGTCATCGAGCCAATGGCTTCTGATGGTCTTAGAACGATCGGCTTAGCTTATAAAGACATGGTCCCTATGGGATCGAGAACGGAGGATAATCAGGTCAGAACGTCTGTATTTTCCATTTACGTCTCCTTTTTCAATTTTTCTGGATGTAAAACTACTATTATACGTATTTACTGATTACTCTATATTAAATATTGCTGTTGATGATTATTTCTAGGTTTCTAGACTTCAGGGTTTCATGATGTAAAAATGTAATTTCACAAAATATCAGTTACTTGCTTATACTTTGTTCCTAGGTTAAGTATTATTTCTAGACCTATAGGTTTCCAGTTCTAGGATCTGAAGATTTTTTTCATACATGCTTGATAAAAATCATATTAGTAATTTTTAGGTTGAGTACGCTGGAGATATCGACTGGGATGACGAGGAGACAATTCGTAATGGTATGACAGCGATTGCTATCATGGGAATTCAGGATCCCGTACGACCAGAAGTAAGTTTAGAGTTTTATTTGATTAAGCTCCAAGAGTCCTTAGCACAGTTCTATCTCCCATTTAAAACATTTTGTTTGAATTTTGCACAAAACTGGTTTTTTGAGGCATTTTGAAACATCAAGTCCAATAGAAAGGCAGAAAATAGTCTAATTGCCATATACAACTTCGCAGATGGTTTGGTTTTCACACTTTCCCGGAAATTTGGAAAAAAAATTGACTACCCTACAGCAACATTCTTGTCGAAATCCTTATTAAAACGAAGCACATCTTTCGAATGCTTGAACTATTTTTTGGGAATGAGCCGCACAAAAAAATTTGTGAGCTTTTTACAGACTGATAAAATAAATCTTTAATCAGCTTAAAATTATTGTCTAAGGTACCAGCCGCCATTGACAAATGCCAAAAAGCTGGAATTACTGTGCGTATGGTTACTGGTGATAACATCAACACTGCCCGATCCATTGCCACTGCATGTGGAATTCTCAAGCCTGGTGCCGATTTCCTTGCTCTGGAAGGAAAAGACTTCAATGCTAGGTAAAGCCTACATTTTTACGCCTAAGTGAAGCGCATAAATCGTTCTTGCTTTAGAATTCGAGATGATAATGGCAAAGTGAATCAGGCAAAACTGGATGCTATTTGGCCTCGATTACGAGTTCTCGCTAGAGCTCAGCCATCGGACAAATACGTTCTCGTCAAGGGCATTATTGATAGTAAAAATACCAAAAACAGAGAAGTCGTTGCTGTGACCGGTGACGGCACGAACGATGCTCCTGCTCTCAAAAAGGCTGACGTAGGATTTGCTATGGTAAGTAACTCCCAAATTTTCCTGGTAAGATGACGAATTGAAGCCTTATTTCTAGGGTATTGCCGGTACCGACGTCGCTAAAGAAGCATCCGACATTATCCTCACTGACGATAACTTTACCTCGATAGTAAAGGTCCGGAACCAACTTTTTCTGCTCCTCATAGAAGTTAAAAAATAATGCTCTTTAGGCCGTCATGTGGGGAAGAAATGTGTATGATTCAATAGCGAAATTCCTACAGTTCCAATTGACCGTAAACGTTGTTGCTGTTACGATTGCCTTCATTGGAGCCTGCGCTATCAGTGACTCACCGCTGAAGGTATGCTATAAAAATTTTATTTTCTTTTTTTCCTTTACCCTCACAAATTCCAGGCCGTTCAAATGCTTTGGGTGAACTTGATCATGGACACACTCGCTTCTTTAGCGCTTGCAACAGAAATGCCCACAGAAGATCTCTTGGATAGGTACGTATTAGATTCCAGTCTATCCAAATCAGGTGTTTGGAACATTCCCATTTCCGCAACTGAAACCAGTAAAGTATAGAATAGCTCAAGTTTATTTTCAGAAAGCCTTACGGCCGAACAAAGTCATTGATCTCACGAACCATGGTCAAGAATATTGTTGGCCATGCTTTGTACCAACTCGTCATCCTTTTTGGAATCATGTTCTGGGGTATGCATCGTCTTCCTTTTTTTTCAAGTATTTGTTTGAAAAATACAACTATACAATTTAGGTGACAAATTTATCCCAAATACGCCTTCTGGCCGAAATTTGCCATTGGGATCGCCTCCCAGCGCCCACTTCACAATAATTTTCAATGCTTTCGTCCTTATGACGCTCTGTAACGAAATCAATGCCAGGAAAATCCACGCTGAACGTAATGTTTTCAAGGTGAGCAGAGAAAATTTCCAATAAGCTTCCAGTGGAAATTTTATTTCGATTTTTTGAATATTTTTTTATTTTTTTAACGAATCTCTCTTGTCGCCGTTTTAATAAATGCTCACTTCAACCGGAGAAAATCCTTGTAGGCTTGAATATCCGACAAATTTTTTTCTGTTTTCCGACAAAATTCTTTCCCAGCTTCATTTGAAGTCTTACTTCAGTAAGAAAAATATTTTTGAAGACTGCAGCCACTGTCTATCGTTCTCCTTTTCACTTTTATAAGCATACAAGATAAAAAGATTTACGAATGTCGAACTGATAACAATCAGAAATCAGTATTTTTTGAGAATATGCCTTTCAAACCAAATGTGGGATTAGATATAGTTTAATTCAAATTTACGGAAGTATTTTTATGTTGTCATGCCTGTGAATTTTTACATTATTTTTTCGATATATTTTTGCACACTTAACATGACCTTGATTTTTCCAATTCAGGGAATCTTCACAAATCCAATTTTCTGCGTCATTTGGATTACAACAATGATCTCGCAAGTGCTAATTGTACAATTCGGAGGACACTGGTTCTCCACTGCTCCTTTGGATGCCATACAATGGGCATTCTGTATTGCCTGTGGCGTAGGCGAACTTATCTGGGGACAGGTGAGTAGGAATAAAGAAATTTATTATACTATTACCCGATGTTACCATTGTGTACAAAGAATTTTTTATTTGAATTTTTTCTTGCGTTACACTGCACAAAGCTTACATTTGATCAAAATGATTTTCATTTGCACACACACGAAGTCACATTTTTGCACCTGCTCAGATTTTCTTAGCTTTCGATTTAGAAAATTATTATTTTCAGTCACTGTAGCTTAGCAAATGCCACTACCATTTTTGTCAAAATTGTTCGCAGTGTATTTTTATCACTCAAAGCAACTTCGTACACAATAACGACGGGAGATAGTCCCGTTCTTCACGATGAGTTTGTTTTTGTTTGTCACTGTAGTTTGCCTCAGATCGTAAACACCGTACCGGCTTCGATCTTGCCGAAATCGTTCCGATTCGGCAAGGGCGAAGTAAAGCCGACGTCAATTATGCTATCTGGTGAATACGACATTCCGTCATCGTCTTCGGCTGTACAAAAACCTGATGGAACCATTGAGAAGCGACCAGGCCAGATGCTTTGGCTGCTTGGTCTGACTAGGCTTCAAACGCAGGTATACATTTACGTTTTACCTCAAAACGTATAGAAAATTATTAGTTAGCCATTCGGTTCTAGCTCCTAGTTCTGATTTGAAGATTTTGCGCACATTTAGCACCCACAAAATATTTTAGTCTTCTAACAATTTTTCAAATATGATCAGTTACCTCCAGCGAGCTGTCGCCCCGAGGTCGCAAAGATCATTGTGGTTAGGCATGCTCGCACTCTATTCTTCCAGATTCGAGTGATCAAGGCGTTCCAGTCCGTTAATGACAGCTCTCATCCGAACTCATTGACCACATCGACGGCCGATCGACTCAGGGCCAGCTATCGTCGGTTGAAGATTGCTAGAGAGCTCGAGCAGCAAAAGAGTTCGTGGTTGTCTGCACTTTCTATAGAAAACTTAGCTAAGCTTCATTTTGAAGCGTTAGGCACCAGAAAATCACTCAGCACACCCCAAAAGAAATTTCTCAGTTTGCTGCGTTTATATTTTGGAGCATTTTCACAAATTTGAGTTTATGAAATTATAGGGAGCATTTAAGCAAATCTGGTGCGGGCTTTTTATGTGATAATTGTGAGACCTTAACTTAGAGTCTCAAGCAGCAGCTCATATATTCGTAGCTAAAAAATCAGAAACTCGAGTAAGTACTACTTACCACCGTCCTCGAGAGCGCTGATTGGTCGTTTCGAAAAAAATACGGTGTGGGCGGGAGTTTAAAGTTATATTTCTCAGCCACGACTAAGTTATATGAGATGCGGCTTGGGCACTGGTTTGGATAGGGCCTCCCAATCAGTTCGAATATAAGGTGCCCATTCACCCGATTTGCCTGAAGACTGCTATGAGAGTTTTTGTTGGCTATCAGCTTTGTCACAGAAGCAAAGCTTTGTTTATTTTTGCTTTTTGCAATATTCAATCAGGAAAATACTTTTTAAATGATGGCTAGTTGAGAAACCTCTAACAAGGAAAGGATACTCGGTGACCGTGGCCATCAGGAATGAGATGTATACCATAAGATGCACCTCGAAATGCTGATTCTAAATCTGTGCTCGATATCTGCGAAACGATTTTCTGAAGAAAGTTATGAACTTTTTTTCGTAGGAAATTTGCGTACTTTTGGGTAGTAAAAGTCACCAAATTCATTCTAGTTTACCGTTTGAAGCTGTTGAAAGGAATTTTAGAAGGTTTACTGTTGTATAACACCTATCTAATCATATTCAGCATTTGAGAGGGAAAGAAAAATTTTCATCAATGATTTTCACTATCCGCAGTAACGCAATTTATTTATGAAAAAATAATCATAACTCCATCCATATCATCGTTTCGCAGATGTGGAAGACAGTTTTTGAACCAGCATTAAAAGGCGCATTTTTTGATATACAAGTCATTATGAATGGCCACGGTCACCAAGTATCCTTCCCTTGTAAGTTCTTCCCTTTCATTTCATTTTCCTTCTTCAGTGTTATGACGTTTGTAAAAGCTGGCTTATTTCCCTTTCTAAATCGTTTTTCACAATTTTGATAACTGCATTTCTTGACTGACTACAAAAATAATGGGAAGTAAAATTTATGTGCTTCATCAAATCTTCCTTGTTTAGGGGCTGGTAGCATTAGAGCACGTGGACCGGTACATTATGCGCCACACGCAAAGAGTGGAACCGGAATGACGTTCGAGCCCTGACTTCGATGATGGCCATACAATGCCCAAAATGCCCGGTCTGTGATCCCTGCTCATCCTAACTCATTGCTCACGAGGTTTATCATTCACTTCGCCCGGCCCGGTGCTGTTCACTGGGTCGGCCAATTCATATAGTTGCTCAGTTCAGAATTCTAACTTTATCCCCCCTTCAAACTTCCTTGTACATAGCCCCCCATCGGATGTCTCCGATATTTATTTGTGCTAGATGTTGCGGCTCTCCTAAGAGCTTCGTCTTTCTGTTTGACCTCTTAAAGGTCTGGCGTTCTGCTGTTCTCGAGAATCCATGCGATTCGCACCATTTGTTTTGCCATTCCCTCCCTTACGCATAATTCATCACTTTGTGCTCTCAATTCGAGTGAGACCTGCTTCCCAAGTGGGCTCATCAAAGGGTAGGTGCCACCTGATAGCTCAAAGCACACGACATGTGTGCGGCTAGTTATTTTTTCGTTGAATACAAGTTGTACTTTTATAGAAACATGACCTTTTTGTTGTAGTGCTGTTTTTTTGTTGCGCTTGTCTTTGGTTGAATTGCGCCAATGAAGTAAATACATTCCAAATGCTAAAAGATCTGTCGAAGGGAAAGACAAATGATTATTACTGCTTGAATGACATTTACAATCGATGAGTGTGATCGTGTTATCTGGCACGCTCGCACGGAATCTGTAAGTATACGAGTGCAGCCAGCCGCTAACTGGGAATTCACCAAGTGCGCTGTCAGTTTTCTCCAGTGCAGATGTTTACGCTAGATGTTGAAGATATGGTAAATCGAGAAGCCGGAACCGAACGCTCATGAATGAGTTGAGGCGCTAACTATAAATGACGACATGAGTAACGGACGAAAAGTCGCTGAAACGCGACAGCTATCAAAAAATATAGGAACAGTACAGTGTAGCAGTTATGATGTTTTTGCTTATTTTACTAAGAGTGGAAGAACTTTACGTATAAGAAACTGCTATGAAAAGCTTAAAAAACTGCTCGAATGATTTCTCATATGTTAAGGGTTTGCGTCAAAGCCACGCATAATTAGAGATTCTCAAAAAGTGTATCAGCGGGTTCTGAGAAAATTTTGAGAAGGGAGCAGCAACGTAGGTAATCGCTGATGGTACGCGGGTAGAAGAAATAGATGACTGAATTTCGCACCTCCCCCACTCTTTTTTCTGTACCTTTAACAAAATGAATTTTCGCGCGAACGCCTGTTGACTGTAAATCTAAACAATTCACTAGAAGAAATTTTCCTTTTTTCGGTAAGTAGAAAATTGGTAATATGAGCGTTTTTCGCCAAGATCTGTAAAACAGACGCTTACAAACTTTCCAGGAAAAATTTCAGGCTTACGAAAGTTAAAAGTGAAGTATGACACAACGTGAGATAGAGTGCACATCTGCACATTTTTTGTTAATCACCGGATACAGAGATTTTTTGAACAAAATTGTCCAACTGCATCGTTCAAGGCTTCCGTCACATCATAGTAAAGTTTAGACGCCAACACCTTAGCTGAACTACAGTTAGCGCACTATTGGACGTACTAAATATTCCTTCAAGCAAAAACAAAACAAAAACCACAAGTATGGGATGAATTCATAAGAAATCCAAGTAACCTCTATATATATAAAGCAGAAAATTTGTGTGTTTGTGCACATTTCCCATAGTCAAAAGGAGAGCGGTGAATAGAAAGCGAGCTCAAGACGGTCTGAACGCTGGCTCCAAACCGGGGTGGAACCCGGAATGCCAGCTCGTTTATCGATAATACTTTCTGGTCCATTGTAACACTTACAGTAGGAAGGCTGCCGATATATTTAGTGATGTGTAGTGCCAATGTAAAATCACCTAGTTATCCTTTTGCTCACATTTGAAAAGCAGAAAGTTACCACATATCAATTCATTGACCTGTGGATCACCGCATTGAAACAATGCGGTGATCCACAGGTGAAATCTGTGAAAACTTGGAAGTCTGAACCCAAGACATGCAAAGACAAAATGAGCAATGTATAGGAGGAGAACTAAGGCTCTTCTTGGCATATTGAATGTGTCTTCTGTGCCTGATTTAAACCCAGATAACTTGAGAGTCTTGAAAGCCCTTGAAAGTTCCGAGTTTTTGGACGTGCTTTTCAAAGAACACTTGTAAAAGGCTCAACATTTGCTTTCTGCATGCTTGAAGATTATGCTGAGATGAATTTTCGAAAAATTTGGTATCTTATCTTGACTGACATAATCACAAAACAAAATAATCCGATAAAGACAATCAAATATGCACTCAATTAATAAACGGCAGGAATAAGCAGGACACGCCACACACAAAAGTGATTGCAAAATAGAAAATTCTTATCATTGGTGATTTTGCCAGGAAAAATGTTAAATCAAAAAAGTGAGAAAACTTTCAGGAAAAAATCGAATGGAAGGCAACGTCCAGCAAATCTGGACTATAGGGCTCTCACGTGGATAGTAATTTCGGGGCCCTAACTAAGCCACTGCCCAAGCGGCAGCTCAGGTAGTGCACTAAGGCTGAGATATTCGCCTCGAAACGGACCCCGGGATCGTATTCGCATGGATTCATGGCAGTTTCGCGCGAGGATCCACGCGTTGCGCCATGAATCCATGTGAAATACGATCCAGTTTCGAGGCGAATATCTCAGCCGTTAGTGCACTACCTGAGATGCCGGTTGGGCAGTGGCTTAGTCAGGGCCCCAAAATTACTATCCACCTGAGAGCCCTATAATCCAGATTTGCTGGACGTTGCCTTTAACGAAATCGTCACGTGATATCGTATCGACGACGCAGTTCCACTAAATTTTAGCTGAATTGCTACGATACCACTGGATTAGGTTTGAACTAAGAAAAAAAGTCAGCGATCCGTTGCGCCGGACACCTAATGCAACCGATATGCATGGTTTGTCTGAAGGCATCAACTGTAATAGTTGTCGTATTGCACAAATCGCTGGCGATGAAATAAGTGGCGGTATGGCCAGAGCATAAAGGAATTTTTGCTACTGAGGGAAATGCGAGGCTTCTGTGAAAATTGGCAAGAGGTTCTGGCTAACGGTAGCGTGCTTAAGCTCGCGGCGTTGGCTCCAGCTCTGCTCGGCTATAGGGCTCTGTGTGGTCCCAAGAATCGGTAAGTTCACGGCCACTGCACACGCAGAATGCCACAAGGCCTCAAATAAGCAATCGCGTACTTTCTAAAAACGTTTTTATTTGGAAGCTAACATCTGATAGCAGAAAAAGGGAGATAATCAAGTGAATTCAATGCTCTTGCTATGGCCGCAAACTCACGTTACTATCACGCTGAGCTCTATAGCTGCGTCATCAGGCTTCTGTGGTCACACTTCTACCGCGCTCAGGTCTTTAAGTATCGAGTCTGTTCTATGCAAGATAACGAAAAGAAATTCTTGATGTACTCCTGCCATTTTTTTAATTCGAAATTTCCTTCGCAGCCGTGTGTGTTTGTCAACGGGGCAGCCACTGTTACGCGGGTAATTGATGCTCACTACTTGATGACTAGGCCCGATGGGCTAAATATGACGTCATTTTTCTAAATTCATCAGGCTTTTTCCGTATAGATCGTGGCCAGGTTAAACGATGATGCAGACTCGCTTTGAGAGGATTGGCTTGGTCTTATCTGCTACATACAAATATGACCGTTCACACTGGTAGCGATGTGGACGTTTTCCTTGCATCAAAAGTTTTCGCGGAGGAACCATTAAATTCGTTATCATGTTCTAGCCGATCTCTCTAAAATGGAAAACCCGTTCCTATTTTTATATGACACTGAAACATGTGCAATACAGCAGTGGAAATCGCAGCGAGGTTTAAAAAGCTATGCAACATTCGCTTGATTTCATAATTGACTGGAGCACATTGGGTTATCTTCAACCCAGAGCGTTTTCCATATTGGCGAAAACAAAATATACATTATCAATATGATGAACTGGCTCTTATCGGTAAAACACAATCAAAGTTTCAAGGTTTTGAAATTTTGACTTGAAAATAAATTAGCAGATATTTTCCACATCTTTACGATGTAATATGCAACCTAGAAGGATACCCGGTTTCGCTTGGTCCCTCTCAGCGATCGTGATGGAAGTCACCATTCCGCTCCAGAGATTATAGAAGCTGAAGGGTAGCAAAAAAGTCCTTTCACCACATTACCGGGCGTTTAGCGCACTTTTTCTGGTGAAAGTTGTACCAATCAGCTATACTCTGCAAAAATAGAAAAATTCACTTTTTTGCGATATTTCTGCAATGCAAAACTTTACTGCAACCTCTTAACATTCCCTACTGATTTTGATACACAAAACTTGGTTGTTGTTTGCAAACTTGACCCTAGCGATGTGACAATTGCAGATTTTGCTTGGTTTTTGTAATTCTACAAAAGATAGTTTCAAATCGTGAGCTTAATTAGTAATTCTTCGTAGACCCAAAATGACTGTACACTTAGGGACATTCGTAATGATTGTGCTCGATGTTTTGATAATCACTTATCATGCTGTCAGCCATTTGTCTACTCGTATTATCTGTCCTTACATGAATTGAGAATTAGTTTGGATGCACGATTGAATGCGTTAATGCGTCTAATGGTTGGCGCACAATATGCAAATACACATTAAGCTCACTTTCTTCATGTTGTTGCTTCCATATAAAAGCAGGCTAATTTATGCTACTTCGCTTTTCGCTACTTATCTCTCTATGCAATAAACGTTTTATCTTTCACTGCGTCTTTTCCAAACAATTGGCGACCCAGCAAGGACCGTCAAAATAGTCGAATAGCCATTCACACATCTTCATTTGTGCGGTTGCACCTTCCCACCAACAGGGTACGACCGAAAGTACCATTCCTGATTACAGGATCACCAATTCCCTCAAGGATTCCAACCTTTACACCGAAGCGTGTAACCAATCAATCTCCTTTGCACCGAAGCGTGTGACTAATCAATCTTCTTTGCACCGAAGCGTGTAACCAATCACTCTCCTTTGAAAGTCTTCCATCTGTACCGTAGTGTACAACCTTCCAATTTTTTGAACATTCGCGGATCCTTCTCTGTTCCCGAACTCAACTCTACGTACTTCAATCGTACGAATTCTCTGATTCTCTTCTGTAGACCATGTCCGACAGCGCACGCCTGCGACGCCAGATAGGATTCTTCAAAAAACAAATCCAGCGTTTCTGCTCTGACGTAGCTCAAGCCTTGAAAGACTACAACGTCTCCCTTTCTGCTCCACAATTTGAAGCCTTAAGCGACGACGAACTTGAAACCTTTCGGCTAGAGGTTACCAGTCTTCGTTCCAGTCTGCTAAAATCCTACACAAGAATCACCAAACTCGACGAAGAATGGACGACATTGCAAAAATCGAACTCCGACGAGCAAAAGGTATTTAACGAGTATCTTGGGAAGTACGGTGACTACCGCTTAATCATCGTTGATGCTGTCAAAAATCTGGAAGATTTGGATTCTCTTTTGAATACCGTTGATCAAGAATATGCAAAGCGCCATTTAGCACTCTCCTCGGTTTCTTCCGAGTCTAACACACCTGATGAAGAGAGTGGTTGGAATAGAGAGAATAGGCCTTTGCTCCAGAATAGTTCACAGACCCCTATCATCCCTCGAACCGATCCTTCGCTCATGAATTTTGTTGATGCCTCAATACTCAGTAAACTAGAGCTCCCTACCTTTGATGGAAATCTGCTTGACTATCCTGAATTTTCGTCAAGGTTTGCGACCTTAGTAGGCAACAAATTACAACTCGATGACACAACAAAATTTTCACTCCTCAAATCTTGCTTGCATGGAAAGGCTTTACATGCCATACAAGGTTTGTCGATGACCCCTGGAAACTATAGAATTGCCATGGATATCTTACGGACTCAATTCGACGACAAGGTCACTCTGAAACACATCCTGTATACAAAACTTGCCTCGTTACCAGCTTGTGACCCCGAAGGACGTCATCTCCTCTCTCTGTATAACCAAATGTTTTCTCTCGTACGACAATTCTCAAATGGAACTGATGATTCAAAGGAAAAGGCTCTGGGCGCCCTTCTTCTCAACAAACTTCCACCGCGCGTGAGGAGCCAGATCTACGACCAAACCCAACATGATCACAATGTTTCCCCAATGGAATTGCTTCATCTACTTACCAACATCGTACGCAAAGAATCTACCCTTTCCGAAATGGAACTCTATTCGAAATTGTCCTTCTCTAATCCACTTCGCTATCCTCATCAAGGAACCTACATTACCAAGAAGCAACCACGGTCTCATTCACCAAAATCCGTCAAATTTCGCCAAGGTTGTCCCTTTTGCGACTCACAACTCCATTCTGCCGTAAATTGTACCCGCTATGCTACACCACAACAACGCTTTCAACAAGCAAAAAAGCGGAGACTGTGCTACAACTGTCTATCTCCTCATCATAGCACCAAAGAATGCCCTTCAAAATTTCATTGCCGGCTTTGTTCGAGAAGACATCACACATCTCTATGTTCATCCTCGAGAAGTAAATCTTCGACGACAAACACTTCCAAGACTACCGCTCATCATCTCCTCTCCCATCCATTTCACCCACGTCAACCCACTCCATCTCGATCCCAGAATCATGCTGTTCATTTCGACAACATCATCCAAACCTCTTGTGCAGATGAAGAGACGAAGGAAACCCAGGCAACCCCTACCTTCGACCGAAACCCACAGGACATCACTCTCACATCATCTCAGAGAAATTCACCAGCTCCTTTGATGTGTACAGAAGTCAGAATCTTTAATCCTGATAACCCCTCCCATTCTCTCACTACAACGGCTTTTCTCGACTCCGGCTCAACCACCACCTATATTACCAACGATCTTGCTGCAGTACTCGACTTACCCGCCATCGAGACGGAAACACTCAACGTCGCAACTTTCGGCGAACCTATAGAGATAGAATCTTCGACTTTCCGATTAGGAATTGAGACCGAAAACGGCAACAGATGTTTCACGGTAAAATCTTCCCCTTCGTTACCAAATGAAGTGATGCAAGTAACTCCCGGCTATGAACCTTCTGTAACGACATGCAGTCCATCGTTACTGATCGGAAACGATTACTTTTGGGATCTCGTACTATCTCACAATTTCTACTACAAAAGTCTTCCGGAAGGATATCGTCTCCTGCATACTAGCATTGGTGATATCATTTTAAAAAGAGCAATTGACACGAAAATGAACGAATGCAGCTTTGTTTCTATTGACAGTGACAATGACGACGCCGCAAATCCCGCAAATCACAATGATCTTTGTGAGCTTGTCAGTCGTTTCTGGAGACTAGAGTCGATCGGAATTTTGGACAACCCCGATCAAAGTGATGACGAAGAATGCCTCAAACATTTCAATGACACCATCTATTACGACTCCACTGAGAAGAGATATGTTGTCACATTACCGTTCAAAACGGATCCCAGCACAATTCCAGACAACCACGCCCTAGCCTTTTCGCGTTTATGCAACCAAGTAAGAACTTTACAAGAAAACCCCACATACCTAAGGAAGTATCACGCCGTCATAGAAGATCAACTACAGCGGAACATCATTGAAGAAGTACCACTTAAAGAAATTCACCAACCGTGTCATTATCTGTCCCACCACGGTGTTCTGAAAAAAGACGACAAGGACCTGAAGATTCGTTGTGTTTACGATGGTTCTGCGAAAATGAAAGGACAGATGAGTCTTAACGAAGCTCTACATAGAAGCCCAGTTCTCCTTCCTGATCTCGTCGGAATCCTTCTCCGCACTAGACTGTGCAAAATACTGATATCCAGTGATATCGAAAAAGCTTTTCTTATGGTCGGTTTGAACCACAAATCACGGGATTACACCCGATTTCTCTGGCTGAAAGATCCACATAGGCCTCCCACTCCAGCAAACTTGGTTACCTACCGGTTTACACGAGTCCCGTTTGGACTAGTATGCTCTCCATTCCTTCTCGCTGGAACTATTCATTTTCATCTCTCTTCATCGGCCACTGACTTATCCAGGCACATTATTCGAAACACATATGTCGACAACGTCTTTTATGGCGCCATGAACATTGATGAAGGAATCAGCTTCTATAGAGAATCCAAGGAACTCTTTCAGAAGGCAGGCATGAACCTTCGGGCCTTTGCCAGTAATGCAGAAGAACTCAATGAATACTTCGGGAAAATAGAAACAGAAGCGATTCTCAAGATACAAAAACTCCTCGGTTTGCAATGGGATCTCAGCAGTGACGAACTTATCATACCTTTGCCGGAAAAGCCATCAAACAAACTACTATGGACGAAAAGAAAAGTTTTGAAGCACATAGCGAGCTTCTACGATCCACTTGGCCTTTTCTCTCCCGCACTGCTAACCAGCAAAGTTTTCCTCCAATCACTGTGGAAAGAAAAGCTGTTATGGGACGATGCCCTACCCACAGAGAAAGAGAAACAATGGGAAAACATTTTATCGAGCTGGACGATCCAAAAAATGTCAGTTCCTCGTCTTGTAATAGATTCCCAAAAGGAAGCTTCGTATGAATATGACCTCCATGTATTTGCTGACGCTTCATCTGCGGCATATTGTGCGACATCCTATCTTGTACAAAGGATAAGAAACGAAACGGTCCGAACTTCTCTGCTAATGTCCAAGTGTAGACTTGCACCACTCAAGAACTCTATGACCGTTCCACGACTCGAAGTAGCAGCACTCATGATCGGCTTAAAACTTCTGACTTATCTCGTGAAAGAACTGGACCTGCGCATCTCGAAAAAGTTCCCATGGACGGACAGTATTGTAGCCTTATACTGGACAAAGAACAACAAAAATCTACCGATTTTTGTTAAGAATCGAGTAAAAATAATTCTTGACAATACTTCGGACGTAATGATCCTGCACGTACCCACTGAAGTGAACCCAGCTGACTTGGGAACTCGAGGATGTACGATTGAAGAGTTGATAAAAGAAGATCTGTGGTGGCTTGGACCTCCCTTTCTTCGAGAGGAACAAGACAAATGGCCGGAACATGCACGCAACATTCTCCAAGAAAATTCTCTTGAGAATAATCAAGAACTGGACGCACTGGAAAAACATCTAACAGTTGCAAATTTTTCTCAAAATCCTACACCCAAAGCACCTTTCAAAACCGAAGTCAATCCGCTCTTGGACTTGAAAAGATTCAGTACTTGGACCAAGCTACTCCAAACGATGATGTTTATACTGAAATTTTTCATGAAGATATCCAAACAAGCAGCAGATCTTTTCGGTAGCACCAAAGTCGTACTGCTTCAACGGAGCGAAACTATACTATTCCGTCTGGCACAGTCATCTTTTCCTCCTTCTAGCGAATCCAAAAAGCAATATCGACTATTTCACTTGTGAAAAAACCTCGCTGTGGAAATCTCATGGACGTATCGAGCATGCCAACTTACCAACATCAGCCATCACACCAATCTTCCTTCCTCGTGAAAGTCGAATAACTATTCTCTACATACTACATGTCCATCAAATGAACAATCATACCGGAGTAAATCACACCCTTACACTTTTGAGACAGAGCGTTTGGATACCCAAAGGACGCGCCACAGTGAAAAGGGTTATCCACAACGAATGCTTTCACTGCAAGAGGTTTCGATCCAAACCATTTACTCTTCCTCCTTTTCCCGCACATCCAGAACGAAGAGTAACTCCTCCACAATATCCTTTCGAAAACGTCGGAATGGATTTTTTTGGACCTTTGACCTACCATACCAACACCAACACTGACGAAAAATACTGGATGTTGCTTCTCACTTGTCTAAACTGTCGAGCAGTTTACGTAGACGTGATACTAGACATGACAACTGCCACGGTACTGCACATGTTAAGACGTTTCATCGCCACTATCGGGTGTCCAAGATGGATCCTGTGTGACAACGCACAAACTTTCAAGACAATCAACCAATGCTATTCTTCACTGCCAGTACCCGACATTGACGAAGACATCATAGATTACTGTGCCAACCACCGAATCCAGGTGAAATTCATACCCAGCCTCAGTCCATGGCAGGATGGAGTTTACGAAAAAATGGTTGACATCTTCAAAAAATCATACCGGCACGCTATTACCAATCGCCGACTCGATATTGAAGAAATCCGAACTTTAGCAAAGGAAGCCGAAGCTATAGTTAATACGAGACCGCTCACATACTACAGTGACGAAATTTCCTTCCAGCCTCTGCGCCCCATCGACTTTCTACGTCCGCATGTTCGACTCTGTGGTCTTTATCCAACCGAATCACAAGACCAATGGTCACCTTTCCAAACTACCAGGGACACTCTACTCGCCGAGTGGAATCGAACATCTGACTTAGTTTCCACGTTTTGGAATCGATGGAGCACAAAATATCTTACAACTATGCGAGAACAGTATAAAACGGAACATACGACTCCCAGATCCCATTCAACAGGGACTCCAAAGTACGGAGAAATTGTATTGATTCAAGATACTACATTGGATCGCGGACAATGGAAGATGGGAAGAGTGATCGGTTCACAGGACGAGTATCAGCGATCATCCCAAATACAACTCCCTTCGCAACGCATCATCACTCGTCCCAACTCGTTGATTCAAAAGTTGGAAATACCAGTGGGCACTGACGAATCACAAACACATAACAGGACCAAGACGACTTCTTCAAGGAACGCACCTACGCCATCACGTCACCCGATGATTACTCGATCACGAGCACGAGCTCACGTCTACACGGCTATGCTCTTCTGCCTTTTGGCTATTTTTGGAACTGCATCCTCGTCCGCCCTCAGATGCCCAGATGAACTCAACACACCCAAGACCATCTTATACGCCACTACCTGCAGATCGGATGCCATTGCCGTTGCAAGGCATAACAGAAAATTTTGCTACTATCCAGTTTCCTGTCCTATTGGACACATACATTTCGAGAAGCCATACTCCAGCGCCTCGAACTCCGACACAACACTATGCGGTAAAAAATGTAGTTGCCCCGGCTGGACTTCGTCGTGTTCATTTCATACTGGTCCTATCACGACCAAATCGAGAAAACAAGCGCTACCACACCACCTTCTCTTAACTACCGACCAGATTTTGTCTGCTCATTTCAACCCAACGAAAATTGTAGTTCCATCAAAAGAGTAGGAACATTCAATCAAGTACAACTATTTGATAACACTTTACTCCTGGTTGAAAATCTGACAGTCACTTTAAAGGACTACCTGACCCAAGAAGACTTCTTGTGCATTGACCGCAAAGGAACGAAACAACCTGCTAGAAATAGCACCACTGGCACCTCCCAGTTCTGCAAGAAACACAAATGCAAAAAACATGCAAGGCTCTTCTGCCTTTACGACAACCCAATCGCCCTACTACTCATCAACGCAGATTCAGAACGTGATGCAATACCGCTCAAAGCCTGGGGCCCCACCACGAAGATATACTATAGATTTCCTTCTACGTATACATCCTCGTACACATCATCGGAGATTTCTACGATGCTATCCGTTGAAAAGGCTCAACATAACGACGCGACAGTCTCCTCTGCTTCTTGCGCAAAGGGAGGACTAACTCTCAGTAAAAGTAGCAGCAAAAGAGCAGTAGAAGCATGCATCGATCAGTACTGCGTCTTCAAGCGAGACAAAGATTCATCACACATCCCCTTTCCTAACTCTCTCACCATGTACGACTACAAGGTTACCATCAAAATCTGGTCTGGAGAGAAACTCGATGCAGAGCTACAACTTTTCTGTCCCGCTCAACCCATTTGTGAAACGATGCGATGTACAGTCTGCTGGGAACGACTGTACAACACACAATGTTGGACCTTGATACAAACAACGGTGATTATCCTATGCGCTTTGATTCTCCCGCTATGGATTTACGTGACCATCAAAATCCTATGCTGTTTACTGCGCTTGATGAAGATCATCCTTTATCGAATTTGCTGCCTCGATAAAGTCTTTCGCATCATTTGCAGACGCCAAAGACTACAGACCTACACGAGCAGAAGAAGAAGACATAAACGCAGCATGTTTCCATGCCTAGCCTTAACTTGCTTACAAATCTCTCAAAGTCTGGGATGCTCTCAAATTACATCTATCAGTGCAAGAGAAAACACCTGCATTGAAAGTGGAGGAAAACAAACCTGCGTCTTCAACGAGGCTACAGTGATTGCTTTACAACCACTATATCAGGAATCCTGCCTAACACTTAAGACCCACCACAACAAGCCAATCGGACTTTTATCCATCAAAGTAAAAGACATCAACTTTCAATGCCACAAAGATGTACAGTTTTACACTAGAGATCATCAAATACTCTCCGAATCCATCCATCGCTGTTATCTCGCTGGAAGTTGCACCGAGCACGCCTGCGAAAACACTACGCCTACTACCAAAATTCAAGAAATTTCAAAATTAGCGAATGAGAGCCCTGGTTACACATTCTGTGCTTCAAGTTGTGGATGCGTCACCTGTGACGGTTGTTTCATGTGCCAACCTAGTTGTCTTTTCTACCGGATTTACGCCCAACCAATGAGCTCCAAAATCTACGAGATCTTCAGGGTCCCAGCTGGGAAACTGTAGTAGATGCTGAAATAACCTTAGAACAGTCTAGCAGCAGCTCTTCTACTACTCTAACCCTCCGACCAGGACAGACGATTCGATGGAAAAACATCAAGTTCAATCTCATAGGCACCACCATTCCACAATTACCTATCCTTTCCTCCTTTTTCATGGCAACAAAAGGACGTACTTCAATTATTCAACCGGCTTACTCAGGACAACTGACCCCTCGAAGCGCTGGTCAACTACAATGCTCCTCTCTCAAGAAAGCAAAATCCTTTGAATGCGTCTTTTCCACAAGAGCATGCTCGTGCTCAACTGCAGTAAAGACAGCCTCATGTGTGTAGCTCTGGAAACATGGCCAAATTGATGAAAAGTTCACCACTTCCAGAAGTCTCCAAAAACTACATTGTCTTCATGAAGCGCAAAGAGACCTATACGCTAAGGCTCGCATTGGCTCGATCTTACAACTACATGTAGTTGCAGATAACATGAAGATCATTTCACAACAAACCAATGCTTCATGTGAAACAACAACCAGCGATGCCGAAGGATGTTACAACTGCAGAACTGGAGCTGAAATAACCTTTCTTTGCAAAAGTAACTCCAAAAACACTTTAGCTAATATCGTTTGTTCAGAACAAAACCAGATAGCCTATTGCACCGACGAAGGACATGCCAACAAACTACGCTTCCACTTTAACACCTCCACTATCGACACAAAATGCAAGATAACATGCCCAACAAATGTCCAAGAAATCAAAGTCCAAGGAAATCTGCAATATATCGAGGACGAATCGATAATCGACGACACGATGGCAAAAACTATCTCTGAAAACATCTCTAGAGACGTGTCATACCTTAAGACCTTTTCACAACATCTCTTCAATCCGAAACGACTACTTGATTATTTTTTCTATCCTATCAAGTTCAGTTCACTAACACTTGCCCTCCTTGTACTCGCTTTTATCTTGTGTTACTTCTATGTCGCTTACTCTCGAACAACTTATCGCTATCGCTACAGACGTTATTAAACAAAATCTACGTTTCACACCTTTTTTCGTGGGGAGTTTTTGTAATTCTACAAAAGATAGTTTCAAATCGTGAGCTTAATTAGTAATTCTTCGTAGACCCAAAATGACTGTACACTTAGGGACATTCGTAATGATTGTGCTCGATGTTTTGATAATCACTTATCATGCTGTCAGCCATTTGTCTACTCGTATTATCTGTCCTTACATGAATTGAGAATTAGTTTGGATGCACGATTGAATGCGTTAATGCGTCTAATGGTTGGCGCACAATATGCAAATACACATTAAGCTCACTTTCTTCATGTTGTTGCTTCCATATAAAAGCAGGCTAATTTATGCTACTTCGCTTTTCGCTACTTATCTCTCTATGCAATAAACGTTTTATCTTTCACTGCGTCTTTTCCAAACACTTGGAGTGCTGCAATTAAGCGCATCATTTACTCCTTCAGAAAAAGACAAATAAAAAGCGATTTTGAAAATGGTTGCAATTTTAGCGAAAAAGCAACAAAACAAACCTTTGCGTTTTTTACAAGGAGTCTTCGCATTGGTTACATACTTCTTTAAATGAACATGCAGTGAAAATGATGAATTGGTTGATTGTAGAAAGCAATCAGTCTCAAAAGTCTCCGACTTTTTTCTTCGAGATCTGAACTGACCTTGTTCGCCGCAAAAGATGTCTCCCATTCTTCTTCCTGCTGACGTTAATGTCTCTTGCAATTCTAGTGTGAATATTTCAAAGGTGCCTCTCATTATCATTTGTAAAAATTATGCACACTGAAAGTAGCACTCTATCTCCTGTTTAGAATGTTGATTGCTATGCTGACTTTGCTGATAATAGCGGCTTACGCTTGCGACATAAGCGTTGATCTCACCGCTCAAACTGATGGCCCCATTTACGCTCAATTCAAATTCCACAATGGAACCAAAAGCAAAATGTAGGTAACCATTTGCATTGAAACGCGGAATTTTGCGAGCTTCAGTTTGGGAAATATACCAGTTAGCAGTTCTTGGCACCAGCTGGAACCAGGAACTTTTTGGAATGAATCCTTGATTTCGCCAAATTTGAGCTACACTACTAATTCCTTGCTAGTTCTTCCTTCCTCTCTCTTTCTCATCCCGCACTTCTAATCCTCTCTCTCAACAGGCCTTCAACTGTCAACTCTCAAATGACAAAATTCATAAATGGCACAACAGCAACATTCACAATAAAAAGAAAAAGGGAGGGAGGAAAAATCGTAGTGAAACCGCACATCCGGTAAAAATTAAACATTCGCACGGTGATTTGCTTAGGAACGCGCCTTGCGATAGAGTAGATTGCCACCACTGAAAAATTCTTGAAGGCATAAAAAATTGTCAAGCTCAACGGGTGTACGAGCCCTTGCCTGAAGGTGCAGCTGTATTGTTGTGTATAGTGCATAAGTGTGTATGTTATATACAGAGTGCGGCAAAAGTCTGGGAGCCTAACTTTGCAGTACTGCAATTACAAAGATACTGATGGTTTTGATTTCAATTTTAAGCCACATGATGCTGCGGTCATCCTCTACAAAATACACTTTATTTGGCTGGAAATGCCTGCCATATGTTTTTGTAAGAATGAAAATTACCAAACTACCCTATTTTCAGGTGTAAAAGCCGCACCCTCTTTGCTCCAAACGCGAGCAGTCCCAGGCGTGCCGCCGCGCATATGTCTCGCGAAGCGGTCGCCTTATCGCGTACTGCTCTCACTTAACGCGCTCCATGATAACAGTCAGTCTTTTGGCGTGTTCGCCTTTAGAGTGAAAAGGGTGCGGCTTATACACCTGAAAATAGGGTAGTACTTTTGCAAAGCGAAAAAACCAGAATTTTTGGTATTTACAATTTTTGCCGTAGCTAGATATGCTGTTAATATTTTACAAAACTTCGATGCATACAACATAGAAGAGGCTTTGCGCTATTGTATCCTAGTTTTGCTTTTGTCAGGAGCTGTTCTTGCATGAACGGAAAATAAAAGTTTGCGAATGTTACCTACGTGCCAGTGGAAATCCGTCTTCAGAACAAATTTAAAAGCTATAGAATTCTCAACAGGCACTGGGACCAAGGCTGTATTTTTTTGCATACGTCTTCTAAATTGAAATCTATTGAAATTCGGCTATGGGAACACTTTTTATACTTTTTAAACGATATTTTTAAGTTTTTATTCGCGCAATTGTAGCCAAAATTCCGGTATGCGACGTACACATGCTTCTAATTTAAAGTCCAATATTTTTATTCCTAAGCAATGCAAAAATTTCTTTTGGAAGTATGTTGTAGGCAAAAGTTGGCTCTATCATGCTGCTTATTTGCCAAGGCAAAAGAAGCACTTATTTTGAAGGCGTGGGGCGAATTCCATTACATCTACCTGCGTGCCATCACAGGTGGACTTGCCAAGATTTTGTAGGGCTGCGTGGAAGCCAAAAGAGGCAATTTCGAAATTCAAGAACTGAGCTGTATCTGCAATGGTTCGAGTTATGTGTGCGCCAAATTTCTCGTTTCTAGGTGCTTCCCTTCCCACTTTATATGAAAAAGTACTAGGCTCCCAGACTTTTGCCGCACCCTGTAATATGTTCAGTGCTATATGAAGTTAAACAAAAGATATAGGAGAAAAGGAATTCATAAGCAGGTTCGTCTCACATGTAGATTATTAGGAAACCTGTGCAAAAACAAGTGCTGCAAAAAATCTTGCCCGACTGGTAGGGCTCAGCTGGGACAATGCTAGCCCGAAAAGTTGGGCAAGGCTTTCATTCGCAAAATTTTTATATTTTGGCCGAAGATCAAAAAAATTGGTGTCAGATCACCGCTTACTCATAGCAAACAAAGCATTTGTTTAGTGCCCAACTTTGAAATCCCGCAGTTTGCGAGATCATGTTAAAACATGTAACAATTGGCCCTGTCTTGAATTGCCGCGAGGATGTGTGTAGACAATTTCTTACGCATGGTTCGAGTTCCCTTAGGCCCTGGGCATACCTCACGCGATTTTAGTGCGACGCGATTTAGCGATACTCCAATTGTTGATGACTCGTTGTTAGTCATCAACCTACGTAAGTTATGCATGCTGTGCCTTTGAGGTCTGCCAGTAGTGAATTTGAAGACATTTGGCAATTTGCTAGATCGCGTAGTGACTGAAATCGCGCAAGGTATGCCCATGGCCTTAGGCCCACAAAAAGATACTTTCTTTGCTTTTTTTCCCAAGAAGGAATATAGCTTGACCCGGTTTCGGCTGTGCCTTGAACTGACACCAGACTTTCATTCTCTCTTAATTGAGATAATTGACATCTCCTCGTGGATTTCTTGCGACATCTCTTGTGACATTCCTCATAGCAAGCAGAATATAGGAGTATGAACTTTCCTCCGCACTGCAATTACCCAATCTTTTCAGATATCAACTCAAGAGAAAAGATCACAAGAAAACATTGCGCATTAAGGACAATGTTTGCAACCTTCAGCCGACAGTTTTAAAAACTTATAAAAAACATCCCGGTCCAGGCGTCAAGTCCATTGGAAAGACGAGTGCTTTCCTTGAAGGTGCCGGTTCAGTTAATTATTTGGTAAGGAATCTTGACCTTAGAAACTCGCTCCAATTACTGATGGTAGTTGAAAAATTATCCTGCGCATCTTCATTTGCTGACTTTGAGGTTGCGCCAAACGACTACATTCAAATTTTTATAAACAGGATCGGGTTTTTGTAATCTCATTTGCCAAAATTAAGTTAAAATGCTTCAACAGGTGTACCGTGATGCGGTTCCTCGTATGGGGATGAGAGTTGGTATAGCATGCGGATTTGGCGATTGCCGCTGAAGAGGTGGATGATAAATGAAATTTTCTGGCGGAACTCATGTGATTATTCATCATTCGTATATTATAATATAATAAAGCTTCATTATAATAAAGCTTATGTTACTCATTCAAGGCTTACATCAGCGAAATACTAGAATAACATTTAACAAAATATGAATTTCCACAAATATTTCGCATGATCGTCGAAGTCACGTTGCCCACCCAGAGTTTGACAAAATGTGATTTTTCGATATCAATCTTGAAATGAGTTGAAAAAAATACCGGCAGATTTTACCAATTCTGGAGGCAAAAATCTGAGTTGTGTTCGACAGACTGGATTATCATCTCTTTTTGTCAAGATTTTATTTTTTTTTACGAAACCGTCTAAGAGCAACGCAGTTTTTGCTCAGTTTTTGACAACGATATTTTGAGCTTTCCCCGGTCGAAACCTAAACAGAGTTCCATCGACACGGCGATTCTTGTATCACCATGCGTTGAGCATCACTAAGCGCTTAGTTTCTAAGAGTTTGTTCCAGTTTTTTGAAGTTCGTTGAAACATATTGCCTGCATATATTCTCGGATAACTGCTGAAGGTAAATATAGCCTCACATCCATAGTGAAATTTCAAAATGCAAAAGAATCCCTGTTCGGTCACAGTAAATTTTATCCAAATCTCGGATTTGCAGAAGTTTTAATATTCACCGTTTTCTGTGTGCAACATTAACTAAACGCCTTTTTCTTGCGACGGACCCAATCTACCTTTGAATGGCTTTCCGGCTTATAAGAATTGCAAGTAAGCTCTTAACTGCACCGCCCATTCTAAATTAGGGGTCTTGAGTTTTAGGCAGCTTACGATAGCGGGACCCCTATCAAGCCAATGCCCAAGTCGCTCGGCAAAATGTCGCTTCCGAAGCGAGAAAATTGCTTCGGAATAGCGAAGAGGCACGAGGAGTCCAAGTTTCTCCGTCCCCCCCCCCCCTCCCCACACTCCCTTCCGCCTTCAGTAATGCCCACCATCCGTGCGCGCCCCTCCAATCATGTCTCAGAGAACCGACCTACGGGTTTTCCGGACAGGGATTGTCGGGGTTTTCGCGGATTCTCGACTATTCGGAATCAGGGACATTAGAAGACTTTGGAACGACTAGAACATGTAAGTGGGTCCGAGTGGACGGTGTCTTTGAAGTGGCTTTCTGCCACAGTTCAAAGAGGGAAAGAGATATTTGGAGGAATCTTGTGCTCCATGTCCGGAAAAGAAAATGAGGGGCGCACTACTTTCGATCAGCTGCCTTACGCTATTAGAAAGTGGCGGACAGCAGTGCTGAAGAATGTGGTGGATTTCTGCTTGGAACACTGCCAGAGTGCCAAAAAAGTGTCGCGAACTAGGCTTTGACATACAATAAATTATTGACCGCGATCATCCTCAGCAAGCTTTGTCAAGTTTAGCGGTAGATACAGTCATCTTTAAATTCTTACAAGTGGGTACGGTACCTTTCATTTATTCTTGTTACGGTGAATTCTATGTGCATAAACCCACAATTGGATTCTTCGATGAAATACAGAATTTCAATTTTTGGGTTGATCTTCCTGGCTCAACACGATTCACCTCGATTTCGCACAACAGCAGCGCTCTCGATTTACATTGAGGTTAGAGTAATTTAAGTCAAGAAGTTGAATTTGTTTGAAACTTGTTCTAAGGAAGGTTTTTAGCGCGCTAATAGCAATCGCGACATCGCTTGTGCTTTTGAGATTCTGATAACGTGTGTGATATACTTAAAAACTCAAAAATATCTCTTTTAGGTATATTACGTAATCGAAAACAGCACACCGGCGCAACAAGTAGTCATGACAAGCAAGGGTAACTGTACATACGTCAAAATCTCTACTTACGACTGTAACTTTATAAATTGTTTAAGTTTGGAGCATTATGCCAAAGTTTAGACTCTTTACAGTCGAACATTCAGTAACGGAATGTGCTCTTTATAATCGGCTCGTCGATGCCCATAGCAGCCATCCAGGCACCTTCACCCATGTAGGTACCCATTAAGCAGCCTGCTTATAGACTGTGTAGTGGAGCAAGAACGATACGCTACGCATACTAGGAGGATCTCGACCTGCGTAGTGATAATTTATTATTTCATCCTTGTAATATAACATATACCGTCCGTGTCTCGGAAGCCATATTCGCCGCCCAAATCTGCAGAAATCGAAACCCCTCCACCTTTTCCATCCTTCGTTCATCAGTGGCAAACGCTACAACTGCTTTTCCCGGATACTCGCTTGATTCCCCTTTTTCGAAAAAATCAATGCGCTTAATAAGCATAATGGACAGTCAGTAGGTCGCATACGAAACTATTAGATTGTCACAAAAGTGAGCTCTTTTTATTTGAATAATTCAAGCTGTTTTTGCTTTTCTAGTAGGCTTAGAGAATCATTCCATAGAGCAAGCTTTACAAAATGACTGCCACAGGTCCGGCTAAGTCGCATTTTATATAAAGTTTGAAGTCAAAATTGAAAAGTCACCTGAAAATTCTTGCGAAAGAAATCCCTACGAACCTCTAAATTAGTCATTATACATAGGCACATAGTGGTCATCAAATATGCATTTATACTGGAATTTTCCGCGCATAGAAAGCGAAAAAAAAGATTGCCCAAAAATGACAAACTTGCCCATAGCCCTCCCATATGTCATTGTATATTACAAGCCTTACTAAATATGATCTTAAAACTTTACCCTTGTAAGTGCTTTTATGATTAAGAATTATCAAGTTTTACTTTAAAAAATCCGAAAAAAGTGGTATTTTGACATTTTTGAGCCGTCATTGTTTCTCAATTTTGAGCCTCGGAAAAAATCCACCAAAATACATATTTGGGTGATACTATATGTGTCTATTATATAAAAGCCAGTTTGGAAGTCCGCAGGAGTTTTCTAGATGAAGATCCGATTTTTAGGTTAGCTGAAATTTTTTGGATTTGGCTCCAAATTTAACCTGGATTACGACTCAGGTAAATCCTTGGTGGTCCTTTTGTAGAGCTTGCTCCGCTCTATCGAATGTACTCTAGCTAGGAAAGCAAAAACACCTCTTATTTGGAAATTGAGTTTACTTTTGGGACAACCTAATACAAGATGTTTTGTATAGAACAGATACAATACCGCTCTCAGAACGTGCAAAATTTCCGTGAATGTCGCGGAAACCCCGGAATTCCGCGACATTCACGGAAATTTTGCACGTTCTGAGAGCGGTATTGTAGAAAATGCGAGGAGAGAAGAAGGGAGTTTAGATGCACATCATCTTTCTTTGATTCCAACATACCACGTACCCCACCCGGCCAAATCGACACAACGCAGACATTTTTCGACTAGAAATTGTGAAGTTTCACAACTGAGACAGCATAACGTAGAAATCATTAAATCTACACCTTGAGTTAAAATGCCATGTCTGCCGACATTCTATCTAATGCCTGCTTTCCAATACCGTACTGTACGTTGAAAAGTACCTAAATCTACTCTATGTCGAAACGCAGTGATGCCTGTCCTACCTACCTAAGACCACCTGGTGAACTGATGTTGACGATGGGACCTTTATCATTCTTTGTCATCAATCGAGCCGCATAAACAGAACAGTAGTAGTGATTTCTGAATTGTTAAGATATCAAAAGAAACAGGACACTTCACTCTTTGGTAGGTCATATAATACAGGTGTCAGTTCGGTGTAAAATCATGCTTGTTTTCGCTAAAATGCCGTGACTTTGCCAAACTAAGTATTTTTTAGTGCTGAAAGACATGTTCTTTCGACAAAACAGCATCAACTGAACCCCAGCTCGATAAATCTGGTAACGCCAATGGTTACAGACTTAAAACTAAAAGATTTTGCTGACAAGTCTACATCGATATACATTATCACTTCTCATAAAGGTGATGAGATACAGAAGTATCTCTTAAATAGCAAGCAAAGCAATAGGCAGAGACGTAATTTCCTTTAAAAAGTCTTGCAGGATATTCTAGACAGTGAATTGAATTTAGCTTTTTCATCTGTATTCGTAAGACCATCATCACCCAAATTTGAAGCTTTGCGTTTTTTCCTCTATCACGAAGCAAAACCAGTTGACGAGTAAAGGTAACAAACTGCTCCAGTATCAGTATCATAAAACAGAGCACTCTGCGCATTTGCTGTTTTCTCGAAATTCCTAGAGATTCAAATTTTGTGGCGGTCTCTAAATTTGGCTTTCTCGTATCACTGCCATGACAGACCAAAGTGTATATTACTAAGTAGTCTGACAACAGCTGTTCTTTTTTAAAGTTTCGATTCTTATACTTTGAGTTTCTGGCCAAAAGTTGAACGATAAAAATTTTTTGCTCCAAAAGTCTTAGATATTTTTCATAATTGGTGATATTAAAAGGATGGAGCACAGAAGTGGAGCAAGAACGTATAAGGAAGATCATACAAAAATTGACATAGTCTGTGCAGCTTTGTCAAAAAAGCAGTTATTATTAGAAAGAAAAAAGGGTGGCTTTAAAAATGCTTCACGAGAAATATACGCGGATTAATTCTGCATCGACCCAATACCTACGAATTGAAGTGACATGGAAATAAATTAGGCTTTACCTTAATCCTACGTTGTTGACTTCGTCCCCATCTCAGGAGGGCATTCATAGAATTTCTTATTCTCCGATTCCACAATTGCCTAAAAAAAGGTGTCAGTCAAGGCAGTGCAGAAGATAGGGCAAATCTGTTGATTATAACACCCCCTCTATATTATGACTGCCGAGTGTTTATACTTATAAGACGCATTGCTACAAGTAGTAGTATAGAATGACTACGTCAGGAACATAAGGTCGTTTTAGCAGTTTTATCTATATTTGTTTATTATTATTCTATTTTACCTTCGCAGCTGAAAAGGCATTATTGACCAGGATGTCCAGTTGACCATTATAATCCCTTTCAATTCTCTCGAAGAAGTGCTTTACTTCTTCCATATTCGAATGATCAACGTAAGCTGCTATTCCTTTACCACCGCAGTCGGTTATTTCTGAAAATATGACAAATTTCCAGGTGTGGACATAAAAATTATGTTGGACACCTCTTGCCGCTTTTTCCAAACTTGGAAGATAATTGTCGGTGGCTGCGTCACTGTGCTCCGGTTCTCTTCCGGTCACATAGACCGTTGCTCCAGCCTGGCCAAGTTGCAGTGCTAGTCCACGGCCTAGTGAAATGAAGGTCATATTTATCATTGGAGAAAAAAGGTGCGAAGTTACGATTTACACTGTACCCATTCGGTCCTTATCACATACACTTGTAAAGCAACAACACTCCTTTTCCATAATTTTTAGATGGCTGTAACAGACTTACCGATTCCCCTCGACGCACCCGTAACCACAGCTATTTGTCCTTTGAGTGCCATTCTGGTATGGAAACAATGCAACTATTCCATAAAATACACTGAATAATACGAAGTTCTGTGGATAAAAAGAAAGAAGGAAGCCAAAGGCTGGGTTCACACTGATCCATAAGTTCCAGAACAGCTCCAGCACAGCGCACAATTCGAGTGCCGTGCTGAAACTGTTCCGGAACTTGCGAATCGGAATGAACCCAGCCAAAATTTGCATCGGACAGAAGGGGAATCAAAGCAGTCTCTTGCAGGGAACAACTATTTACGATCGCAGCTGCAAATAATTGTTGTTGGTCAGAATACAACAAAAAGTCTTGCACGAGATGAATTCATTTCATGGAATTCGTTATGGCACGAAAGATTGAAACTTAAAGCATCACTGCTGAAAAATTCGGTAAACTAGCATCGTATCCTTATGAATATTTATTGTGTAAGAGAATAGAGAGTGTCACAATACTAATTCATGATCTTGGCTGGTTTTTGCAAAAAGGCTAAATCTGTCATTTTCCATATGTGAGCATTATTTCGGAGCTTCTTAAAAGTAAGTGGTAGACAAAAAAGAAGAAATCACGATGACGATGCTTGTTCGACACTTGGAAATGGAAGAACGATGAGAAAGAAGCGAATGAAGCCTCAATCAGAAGACATGAACAAAAAATCAGAAATGTTTGGATTCTCGCTGTACTCTCATGCGGAAAACACTTGATTCTTTGAAGCGCGAAGAATAAAACAAAGAAAAACATTAGACTAAGCAAAGCTGGTTATCCTCTTTTGAGTTATGCGAACTCACTGAATTTGGTTAGGAACATTGGCAACCAAAGAAAATGTAAACAACTAAAGGACATTGAATGCTAGAACTTGCAAGAAACAAATTTTCTTACACATTTTACTTAACTGGGACTGGCGCAAAAAGTTCACGGTCTTTGAATACTATATGGCATGATTTGCATAGGTGATAAGTTGAAAGCTATGAAGTGAAGGATACCTGGCGAATGAGGCCATTCAGAAGGAAATATAACATTAGATGCACTAATAATGCCAAACCAGAACGAGACTGTGATATTTTCTCCTAGTTGCTGTTTCAGGTTTGTAGAGAGCGTTTTCCTGCTTCGCATACTAAAATTGAATAAAACATATTGCTTCACCAATTTTCCATAATGACATTAAGACATCAGCCGAGAGAATGGAATGAGATTGATTTTGGTATTACCTGGAATCATGCGATTTCACCTGAAAAGGGAACGCTCCTAAGTTCTCTTCAAGAAAGTTTTGCATAGCGTTCTACGGTATGCGTCTTGTTATCACCAGGAGTTATTTTCTCAAATCTATGTAAAAAGAAAGAAATGGCAGTGTTATAAAAAACCTAAGTTAACGATAACAGGATACGATAACAGGTTCTCGAAATTTGTGATGACAATCGAGTGCGATAATATCAGAAGCTTTATCAATGGGTCAACAAGAAAAGAAGATGAAGCTTTTTATACTGTAACGAATGCCTGCTATAATAGAAAGTCGAAAATTACTGATTGAAAAAAGTTTATAAAAATTCTATTGCGAAGATAAGTTGAATAGACGTAAAACATCTTCAGCCGCGATTAGAACAAGGAGTGCAGTAGAACTGGTAAGGATCGAGCAAAAAAACAAGGTTACCGGCACAGCTGACCGTAACTGTCTGATGAAAACAAGAATGGTAATTTATTTATTTATTTATTTTATTTATTTGTGCATAGGGATGCCCCTATGAAAAGAAAACAAACAAACAACAACAACAAAAAACAAAAAACAAAACAGTCAACACCACAGCACACAAACAAAAAGTGTTAGTGTGCTTTCAGGTAGCCTCTCAAAACTTTTTTGAACATTGCGAGTTTAGCCACGAACATTCTCTTCCTCAAAAGTATATCTACATCATGTGCCACTCGGCACGTGAAAAAGTATCTTCTGACATTTCGCCTAGCCTTTGGTAACACAAGCTTTCTAAGTCCACCTCTAGTATTCGAGGATCTAGTCACAAAAAAGTTACTCAAATCGAGCTTGTATGTTCCAAATATTATTTTGTGCACCGTGATAAGATCGAATTTCTTTCTTCTATAAGCAAGACTTGAGAGCCCAAGATTTGCATTACGGACTTGACTGCATGGTATTTGATCATAATTGAAACCAACCGTCCTAATCAGTAACTTTCTTGTGAAACTATTTTGTACTTTCTCCAAGTAGTTGATTGCCTTTTGGGTATGTGGACTATAAATGACGGTACCATATTCCAACATCGGTCTAATAAAGGTCTTGTAAGCCTTCAAAAGAATATTAGGATCTGTACAGGACAAACCTCTGCACAAATTGTAAATTGCCACCGTAGCCTTGTCTGCAATTACTTTACAATGCTCATCAAACGAAAGACTACTTGTGATCAGAAACCCCAAGAAGAAAACGTGCAATTGACATGGACCATGAATGTCCTCTCACTCAAGAAAGCTTCAATCCAAGCTACAGTCCGTGGATGTATTCCTACGGCTATAAGTTTGGAAATCAACTTACTGTGAGGGAGTTTGTCAAACGCTTTCGTAAAATCTAAATAAATCACTACTCAATAAAAATCAATCAGTCACTAAGGTCAATACTCTCACCTTTATCTAATTGTACTGTCCAAACATTGACAGCTTGTAGCATAGCGGTAACAGTAGATTTACCGCTTTGGAACCCATGTTTTATTTATTTATTTATTTATTCAATATGCATAGAGCGTGCCATAATTGGAACAAAGAGCAAAATACGTAGAGCATGAACAGTAAAAAAATAACAAAACATCCCCAAAAGCTCAAGTCCAGCTCCGTGAGTAAAAGGAGGTTAAGCCTGTAGACCGTGTATAAATATCAGTGCAGATGCTCGGCGGAGTCTGTCCCATGCCCCCTGCTTGTAGCAAAAGTGTGCTACAAGTGTGTGTGTTGCTCACTTGCTATTACCTTATAAGTCTCTAAATGCTTTACAATATGCCTTTTCAATATTTTCTCAAATAGTCTAGCGAAAATAGATGTTATGCTAACTGGTAGATAGTTTTCTGGACTAGTAAGAGGCTTTTTCTTAGGAATAGGTCTGACAAAAGACACACGCCAGCGATCCGGAATTTCTGCGCGCATCATGCTTAAATTGAAAATGTATTGAAGCGGCCCACCCAGTATATCTGCTATTGATTTGATAAAACGTAATTGTAGGAAATCAGGCGTGATTGAAGTTGACTTAGGCCACTTCATCAGTATTTGATAGATGTCTTCACTCCTGAACCATATTCCATCAGTCATACTTTGGTAACTTGGAGCACTTTCAATTTCACTTTCATCGTTCTCTTCAACAAATGTTTTGGCGAAAAAGTCTGCAAAATATTCCGCTTTATCTCCATCATTGCATATAACTTCCCCACTATCTCTCTGCAAAACCACCAGCTCTCTTCTACCTTTGAGTCTCGAATTGATCAGTTTATAAAACGCTGATCTCTCTCCGGATTTAATTACTCTTCTCTCAACAGAAACATATTTTTTAAGCAGTTTGGTAAATTTGTTATTCAATCTACAAAATTTGTCATAGTCTCTAATATTTTTACTAGTAGCCGCCAGTAATGCGCAACTTGGTTTTGGAAAATGCTCGTCAGGTTTTTCTGTGCTATTCCACTTCATGTAACCCAAACAAACAGAAACTTGATTTTGTTTTAACTAAACCTAAAAGTTTATTCCAAACGCTGATTAAAGAAATGGTGTTGAATTCGTATTTGTGACTTTTTCGTACGATGTGACCGCCATGAGATGTCATTGTCGAATGTGATATTGTGATTAACATGCCAAAGAAGCCTTCTGTACTAAGTAACGACGAATTTTGAGCTTCAGAACACATATCATAATACTGCTCTAACTCCGCAAAAGTGTCCCACCATAAAGAACATTTTTGTCGAGCAAGAAACTCGGTGCAGCAAATTTCAAGAACTTTTCACTCGGTGAAATTCTACCTTTTCTTTCTTAGCAGTGCCCCAGTTTTCGCAACACAGTTCCTTTGAATGCTGTACAATTTAATCATCGATATGGATAATTATGCCTCGTTACTGCGCCAGCTCTTTTCCGAAAAATCTTAACTGTGATAATGCCTCCTGATGCGTAGCTAGTGTTCTTTACAAAAATAGGTCTCATTGCCTCAATAAGGTCACTGTTTTTGGTTTCGTAGCATTTTTTTTCACAGAAAGTAAAAGAAATTTAGTAAAAAGCCTATTCTTAAAGCAGTCTATCGTAAATATATGAATGATATTACATATGGAGTATACGCATTGAGTAGCAACAAAACTTTGAGCAACGTTTGTGTCTTTCTAGCTACAGCAGGAACTAGAGAATGACATAGAGTAGGATAGACATTTTTGGGTCATTATATGTAACTTAATATGTGAGTCTAAACACTATCCGCAACCGGGAAAGAGCTGACGCAGTAACGAGGCATAATTATCCACTTCCTAAAAATAACTAAATTCTACAGCACACGTGGTAACTCCTGAGTAAAGATCCTTCAATGTAACAAATGGCAGAAGTGTCAACTACTAACCATTACATAGCCAGGTTGAAGGAGACAAGGTTTAAAAGAGACCAACTGAAAATGAGCAGGTTCCAATCTCACAAGTCGTCAGGTAGCCCAATGGTGTGCACTACGCATATTGGGTCACAAATGACTCGACGACACACTAACATTTTAGGGGATTAACTATAGGAAATGAAACCCTTTTTTTACCGTTCATTGTACATAAAATGAATGTTAACGTCCTCAATGTTGTGATGTCAGCTTCAGATATGTTCTATGGCGAGATCTTCATTGAAACGCCCTTGTTGTGGACGACGTTCGCCTAGAAACAACAATCATCATTTTTCTCTCACACAACAAATACCTACATGAAATTTAGCGAATAGAAATGGAGTAAGAGCAATACTATAAGCACACAAACGATCTCATTTTTTCCTCGTTCACAAGACGATAATGGACAACAAGGTACCTTTTTTCCATAATTTGCAGCTTGCATCACTTATCGCCAGGGTCGAGCAAGAGGTGTGGCGCACAAGAGCCGGATACGACCTTCCTTATCTTCTGTCTCAATACCCCCCCCCCCCCCCCACCAGCATTATCGTTTGCCCCCCCCCCCCCCCCTAGGCATGACATAAAAGTTCTACCAGCATAATTAGGCACATATTTGTAATTATCATGTCAAATAACCACCATGGGCCAAGTTTTAGCAAATTCTAGGGTTTACAATATTGGACCACGCGAGTGAAGTGATCATTTTCAAACATGATTAACTATGTTTCGAAAGTGAATTAGCTATTTTTTTGGTACTCAGTACAAAGCAATGCTCCCTATTTATCCAAACCATGAAACCTGCTTCAAATAGCCATTAAACTATGGAATTAGAAGCAGGCCAACTCGTTCATCCTATTTTTCGCTTCCAGCGGCTGCGTTTTCACTAGCTTTTATTCAGAGCGAAGAAAATGAATCAGGCCCAAATTACTCTAATGAAAATTACAAGGCTCGGGCTATCAGACTATATGCATTTTGTTCGCTAAAATTCTTTTCGGAGGCAAGTTATTGGGTGTGGCACAATCCCTAAAAAGCTGTGGCGCCACACCTTTTTAGGGGTTGTGCCATACCCCATTAACTTACCTTCAAAGCATTCAAATCTCCGTCTTTTTTATATTATTGCTATTGCTAAAAATTCTTGTCCACATAGCAGAAATTTCATTCAGAATTTCCTCTTAGGGAAAGATATGGTTGTTTTTCCTTAGCTAAGCAAATGGAAAACACTGCAAAAATACTGGATTTCGGTAATATGCGCGGTGTGCACTACTACGTGAATCGCAAGAAAGGCGGCAAGAACAAGCATATTCGATAGCCTGGTTCTCGTAACTCTCACAAAAGTAATTCGAGTCTGATTGGTCTTCTTTAGTCTGAGAAAGTGAAAACGAAAAATGGGACAAACGAAATCCTGGTCCGCTCATAATTCCAGAGTTTGGAGGTTAGTTGAAGTAGGATTCCTAATGCGACCAGAGAGCGACCAGAGAAAGTAGTAGTTTGTAATGAGTGCAAAAAGAAGTTACTCATCTTCGAAACAAAGTTAACATGTTCAAAAAATGTCCACCTCGCTTGAGTGTCCCGAAATTTGAAAACCACAAAATTCGCTGAAACTCGGCCCAAAGGGATTATTTGACATTCTAATCACGAAAACGATGCTCCTATGATTTCAGGATTCTTTAGTATCCTTACTGTGCGCGTCATCATGTCGCCAACATCACTATCACCTCGATAACGATACCCCCCTCCCGCCCTCTTCCTGACTCCTCTACGACCCCAAAGGGGTGGCGTGCCACACCTCCACGACACTGCTTATCGCTGTTCAAATTGTTTCAGGAACGTTGTGTAAGGTATTGCAATATTTGAAAAAAATCTTGTGAGGATTGGAATTTCTCTGTATGTTTGCGGAAGCTTCTGTTCGTTCATGGAATGTACGAGAGCTGGATTGTGCGTAACCAGGCCAAATATTTGAAATTTGCAGTAAATAGTAACAGTTTGTTTGGATTTTACGAATTATGATCACAAAATTCGTGGTCGCATGTAAAAGGACTGCAACCGAGCACTGACTACCATGTACTTGTTACAGTAAGTTTCGGCCCGCATTAGGCGGAAATTGGATTGGCCGGCGTCCGCCTCGCAACAGCTCGCGCCGTTTCGCAGCTACAGTACATCATATCGTGCTGAGAACCGAGGTCTGCGTCTCTCCCTTCTCCTCAGTCCCTGCTTGGCAAAATGCTAGCGCTATGCGCTCGCGAGACTTCCGGCTGTGCGTACGCGCCCCTCCTTATGGGATGTTCCGCCTAATCCGGGGTGAAACCGATTGTACCTGGCTGTAGAATATGGTTTCAGCTAGCTCACAAAAATAAGGTGCTGCAGGACAGCGTGCATACAGTTGTCTCCTAAAATAACGCAATCACAAAATCAAAATAGATTCTTGGCAACAAAACTCTGGAAAGAGAAACAGCTCTTTATGCAGTACAAAAATGCTTAGGGAATTGCAATTCAGATCATAATATGCTAATCCTTTGTAAAGCTAAAATATTCACATTTTCTCTTATTCGCAATGAAACTTGATCGTTTAGCTTGGCATGCAAATCATGAACACGAATAATTCGAATTCGAAAGTGTTATAAGTAGACGGCAAAAGCTATGAAAATGATCTTCCCAGTGTCCACTAAGATGGTAAGTCGATAAATTGAGGTATGCTGTTGCCAAGGGTTTGACTGCAGAATTTGCAGAACATATTGGTGTGGCTTTTGGCAGCTACGCATTTTTTCGGATGCACTATGGCAGATGATGATGTTAGTGAATTTTTCAATGGATATTTATCGAAACTTCCTTCAGCACGCGCCAGTGACACATATTCTAACCAAGCGAGCAATGTACTATAGTCCATATGCGATGTATCCGTCAAGCCAGGGAGCATATCCTAACATGCCATATGGAATTCCGGTGAACCCGAACCCGGGGTATACCATAGGGCGATTCCACGTTAGTCCTACTATGTTTCCTCATTGGAATCCCAACTGGTCACGACATTGAAATGTAAGTGAAATTTTAGCCTTTTGACGCGTATAACAAGAGATTTTAAGTTTATAATAGTAATAACTATATGTTAAAAAATAGCAAAGAACACTAGAATTTTGCTGCTTCATACGTTTTTGTTATTGTTGCAGATAGGCTGTCAGCGCGATGTTACTCTTCAGTTGTTCGGAAAGTCTTGCTGACGCGTGAAATTATGTGATTTTTGGCAGATGTTAGAATGATATTACTCTGCGCCCCATAACGTTCTCTACCCCCGTTGAAAAATTTGCAATGTAACAGTTTTTATCAAAGACTTCGCATTTGATAGCTTCAATTTCTTCTTACCCTTTGGATGGTACGAAATGTAGTCATAGCATGAACTGAAGTGGAAATATCCTGTACAAGATGAGCACCACGTTGGTTAGTGGATTTCAGACTTTTCGAGACGGTCGAGGCAAGCATACTCTCAATCCAATAACCTGATTGGAATCTTCTCATAAGAATTTCGCTAATAAAAATTGACGTTGTCGTTCTCGTACTGTACTTGCTCGACTTCCCTAAATCACAATCAGGTTCGACAGAATCGATTCTGTAAATTTTATCAAACGCATTTTTTTGGCTACCAACAAGTCGCAATTGGGGAGTTTTCAGTTGAGAATTGCAGACTGCAGCGGTGTATGCCAATAATAGAACACATACATGATTATCAAAGTCCAACGCCAAAGAATTTTATGTACATTTTTAGCCATATGCAAGGGGCGTAATGTGGTCAAAATTGCGAAATGGTACAGATTCAATACTGACTATGGTTTGGCACGAAAAAAAAGCTGAACATAGAAGCTTCAAAGTCTTGATGTGATGAAAGACTAGAAGCGAATGAGGGTTCCTCTATGTTCAGTAGAATTTCGAGAAACTAAATTGGCTAAAATAAATTTCGCAACTCAGCTGTTTAACTTTCCCAACAAGCTGACAAGACTTGATAGACATAAGATGATGTTAGCTTTTCTATTATATTAGGTTGTTAAATAAGTCTTGTTACACTTAAATTCTAAGAACGATAACTCATGCACCTCATATTCTTTACAGGGCACCATTCGATAGAGCAAAGCAAGCTCTACAAGGTGGTATGCAAAAGTTCGCACCAGTTCCGATCCACCGTAACTTTGCATCCAAAATCTGAGTCGCAGTGAAGGCTCAAAAATTGCGAAAAATTCATATCTCTGTTCAGAAAATCCCTACGAATCTCCAACTTGCTCATAAAAATTGCCCACTATATCAAACAATCATATGCACCGTTGCTGTATTTTTTCTTCATCTAGAACTCGAGAAAAGGAAAATTTTTTACTTTTTACAAAAACGAAGCTATGCTGTTTCTATCCATGTAGCTGTATACTACAAGCCCTTAGAAGTATAACCGTAAATTTTCAGCTTCCCAGAAGCCCTAGTTTTCGAAAAATACCCAATTTAGCCTTGAAAACCCGAGTGAGAGAAGCTAAATTTGGTATTTTTCGAAAACTAGGGCTTCTGGGAAGCTGAAAATTCACGGTTATACTGCTAATGGATTGTAATATACAGTTACACAGATAGGAACAGCATAGCTGCGTTTTTGTAAAAACTAAAAAATTTTCCTTTTCTCGATTTCTAGATGAGAAAAAATACAGCAACGGTGCATATGAGTGTTTGATATAGTGGGCAATTTTTATGAGCAAATTGGAGCTTCGTAGGACTTTTCTGGGCAAAGATATGAATTTTTCGCAATTTTTGAGCCTTCACTGCGACTCACATTTTGAATGCAAAGTTACGGTCGATCGGAGCTGGTGCGAACATTTGCACACGACCTTGTAGAGCTTGCTTTGCTCTATCGAATGGTACCCTGTAGCCCTGTAAAGAATATGAGGTGCATGACTTATTGCCGTTAGAAGTTAATTGTAACAAGACTTATGTAACAACCTAATATTTCACTACAGCGAGTGTGTTTTGGTTGAGCAATGCAAAAAATAGGAAAGCTTCCTGGAGTTAAAAAAGAAACCCGCTGTCATTTCGTGCCAGTAGTCAAATCAAATGCACCTAGCAAAATGCAACAAATGCATTGCTAAGTCTACTTCGGTGCACACTCAGCAGGATTTGCGCCCAAATGTGCGAATCCGGTACTAGACACATTCCAAGAAGAATTCTGCTTCATCCATGATGGAGTGATAACGTGGCTTTTAAGATGAGAGAAGGAGATAAGGTCAATGATTCGGAGAAAGTGATTAAGTTCAATGTCTCCCATTTTTCTAGGTCTGGACTGATTCACCACTAAAAATGTCACCCTTTCTTTCGTGCAGACGATATTGTCTTTTCTTGTATCAGGCTGCTGCATAATTTCTGTCCGATTTGAATTTTCGAATTCAAAATGCCATAGCTTCTTTCAAAGTCAATTTTTTCCATGATTTTAGTTAATTTGTGTTGGGCCGTTCTTCAGCTATCAGATAAGTACTAGTTATTGCGAAAAACCCTTGTTAAAGAAGAAGCGAGAACTCGAAAACTTCACAGCGTTCTTCTTCGAACCCTTCTTTTTTAACATGGTGATGCTCCCTCATGAGAAAACTGGCAGGCACATTAATTAGCCATAGATAGATAGAAAAAATTTCGAAGATTATTCCACAGCCTAAAATTGCCCATAGAGTCTTCGGTGGAGAGAGGTTTTCTTTTGACCGAAAAAAACGAACTGTTTTCAACCTGTTTTAGCACATGTATGACATGTGTATGTATATGTATGACAATTTTCAAATTATGAAAATTTTTGCGCAAGGGGTGTAGAGTAACTGGTAGCTGGACTCTGCTAGCTCTTGCTTTACTCTAGCATCCAAAACTTTCGACTCATCGATTGCCGCTATTCCCAGGAAGTTATTGCTTGTAGAACATGTATACAAAAAATCAATGTTCGACAGCAAATTTTACAAGCAAGACGTTATCTTCATAGAATTGAGCTTGTGCATATACTAGCCTGTTACACCTTTATTCCGCAACCCACGAAAGGACATCACTTGAAGGGAAATTTCCTTGCAGGAGCATAATTATTAGGTGAGAATGTCTCTGGTCTACAGGAGGATCTTAGGCTTGCAATCTCGTTAGACTGAAGAATTTATTGAAGTCTGATATGCGTTGAAAAGCGCAAGAGAAGCACTTTCTGAAGGTACAAACTGTACCGTATTAGAGGTGGAATTCTATTAGGAATAGCTGCTTCAAACATAAGGCAAAAAATCGGTCAGAATTTGTGCAGCGGCCTAAGGCTCGTACAGAGCTTACGCGTTATGATAGTCGAGATTGATCGCTACAAGACAGCTGAAACAATATCATTGCACGCCCATCTTCTTGAATTTCGGTTGTGCTAGTTTTCCAACCCGATTAATCGTGAATAACTATCACAACTGAAATACAAGAAGATCGGCATGCAATGTAACACTTGTCTTGTGGCGACTAAATAGCGACGATCAAATCGCCTGAACTCTGCCCGAGGCATAATAGTTCTGGTGTATTTTTGAAAGTCTGACTTTCATTATCATTTACGTAATTATTGGCAACTAACAGTGCTTTTACTTTTTAGAATGTTGACTACTACCATCTCCTTACTGATAGCTGTGACATACCTGCTGGTGACATTGGCATACACTTGCGACATAAGTGTTAACGTCATCGCTCAGACCGATGGCCCTATTTACGCACGATTCAAATTTCACAACGGAACCAAAAGCAAAATGTTAGTAAGATATAACGACGTTTACGGCTTCCACTACTTGAAACTGAAACTTTATGAAGCTACTGCGCAATTAAAGCTGATGCAGTGTTTTTACCTAGTTATGAAACAGGCCCGGCGCAGCCGAAAGAGTTCAACCTGTATACCATTCTAGAAAGAAAAAACGGTAGGGATATCGTTTGTGTGGGTCCTGGGTAGAGTCTCGGAAGAATCGCAAAAAAGTGATCAAAATCGAACACATGTATTGTTTCACCAAACCCCCTAGCGATACAAGTCGAGGTAGTTACCTATGCACCATGATGAAATTTCGCACAGCTCGGAAGTTGCAATATAATGAGAAAATAAATTCGATTTGCCCTTCAAACAAGCAGAAGCTTCGTTTACAGCCTCATCGCGGATATGCTGCAAAACGATGAGCAAATCTGAGTGAACTCGGATTATGGTGAAAAAAATGTAAGTTTCATACAATCGCAAAACGGTTTTATGCTCTATCCTCCAAGCCTTTTATAGTCTCCGAAAAATTACTCTTGGTACGCAATCTGTTCCAACCCTATGGAAACCGACTCGTAAATCTTTCATTTCCACTCATTCTTTGCCTTTCTTGATCGGAGCATTACTCCTCTTTCACTCTTCAAAATTTTTCTGAATCTGTGAATAAAGGGTGGTAGAGGGTTTTCTTTTTGGATTTTTCCAGGTTAGGCAACAGTCCAAATATCAAAAAATGAGAAGCAAGAAGTGAAAGGGTTTTGAAAGAGCATGAAGTACTTCGTACAATTCTAAGAAAGTCATGGGGTATAAGCTCCTGCAAGACGAAGGCGGTCGGTTCGAGGTACGACGTGGCTGTGACGCGGCTGTGACTCGGCTGTGACGCAGCCATGTCGCAGCCGCGTTGCGCATTGAATCGACCGCCTTCGTCTTGCAGGAGCTTATATTTCGTTTGAAAACTCACTAATTTCAGTTCGTGCCGAGGCTGAACATAGTTTATTACATATATTCAGGGTTGAGCAAGAGGTCAGGCACAAGTCTTTCCAAAACGACCCCCCCCCCAGTGAAAGCCCCTAAACGACCCCTTTGCTTCACCTCCAGGACCTCAGGCTGTGATAATTCGAAGAGATCAGCCGTTTTTGGGAGTTCCTGTTTTTTGGAGGTCTGTAGGTCGACTTTCTGCGATTGCACAGCACACGCAACTTGACGGCAAGTTTTGGATTTTGGATAGCCCTACTTTTAGAGCTATAATTCCCACAGGGGTGTATTGTTTGGCTCCAAATTTGCAGTATTGCAAGAAGAGGCTTTGAGTTCAATACTCATAGCAGAAATGGAGCGATTTTTAGGTTTTGAAAACAAGTTAATCGGGTCAGGCGCAACCCCTCAAAAGCTCAGGCGGCCTGACCTTTTGTGGGGTTGCGCCTGACCCGATTAACTTTATCATTGAAGAAGCTTTTTTATTCAAGTTTTATGTGAATCGCTAGCACAACCCTCGAAGATTCCACAGTAAGTGTTTGGACTTGATTCGACTTGTTTCGGCCTTGTGGTAATCCGTGGAGTTAAAGCAGTCATGGCGAAAAACGCGCCGGTCGGAATTTTGGCATTATTTCTTACTCCACTATTTGCAAGCGATACAAAGCGCGATTTTTAGCCTAGACTAGTGGGGAATAATACTTTGTTACGAGTACAAAAAATTGACTTTTCTCACTTTTGAAAACAAGTTGATCATGTTTGAAAATCACGCTTTTTAGTCGTTGAGAGACACTAGATAATGCAGTAAATAATGGTTTGTAGGGCTCATAGAGGTAATTTGACGTGCTCGGAAATGATACCCATTTCACACAGCAAGCTTCCTTGATGAATTTATAATATGTCAAGGTAGAAGATGAAGATTTGAGTTTTGGCCGAAACTTCGATTGTGAAATCAATCAGTATGCTGTTTAAACCGTTCATTCCTTCAGTACTGGTGAGGTCGCTATATCCACTAAACTAGCGCTTTTCTTCTTCACCTTAATCGTAGTATCTCCTCAATCGAACGAATTCGATTCCTATTCACGACTCCCCCCCCCTCTGTCTTACCCCAGTACGACCCCCCAGGTCTGACGCGCCTGACCCCACGCTCAACCCTGCATATATTATGTCATTTCTTAAATGGCATCCAGATTATAAGTCTTTACTGCATTGAACCCTGCTTTTTTAGATATCACCTCAGGCGGAAAGACGACAAGAAAACACTGCGCATCAAAGACAGCGTATGCAATCTGCAGCCAACAATTTTGAGAACTTATCAGAAACACCCCGGCCCAGGCGTGAAGTCCTTTGGAAAGACAAGCGCTTTCATTGAAGGAGTCGGTTCAGCTAACTATTTAGTGGGTTTTCTTTCTGAGTTCAGACTTCAAGATGTGAAATGACTCGAAATTCAGGTGTATCGTGATTCGGCTCCTCGTATGGGAATGAGAGTTGGAGTAACATGCGCATTTGGCGGTTGTACCGCAGTTGGAAGATGAAGAAGGTCTCATCTCTATTGATGTAACCAACTGCTCTTCATATATGATAAAGTTTGCTATTGTGCAGCCAAAGCTTGCACATTCATGAATTTACAGAATGTGCACTCTCGTGATGTATTGTTAATCATTCTACCGACCACCTGCAGGACTTCAAGCCATTTTATCCCTTTTAGGAGGGATGTTCTGCTTCAAAGACAATGTTTTTTGCACTGTTTTTGCACGCACTCTCATTATTGACTCTTAAATACCACAGCACAATAAATATTGCATTAATACTCTTTGAATGTCCTGAAAAATCCCAATTTCACCTTTTTTGTATGACTGCAGTTTATAACGAACTCCAAAGAATCACTGAAGACTACGATCCAAATTTTTGCCGTTTTCAAGTTCCGCTATTTTCTGAATTTTTCGTTCCCATCTTTTGAAGAAGTTTAAGAACGAATGTACAGAGCAAACTCTACAAATACCATGCAATTTCCCTCCCCTTTCTATAGCTCGTCATATTTTTTGGTGGAATTTTAATGCTAATTGCTAATGCAATTTCCATATTTAATCAACTCAAACCCCGCAGAACTCAACAAGCGAGCAACTCAGATATCATTCGATGCAGCTTTTTCTCCTCTTTTTAACAAGTGTTCTCTGTTCCGATAGCATCTTCACGGATAGAATCATCATAATTTGTGTTTTCGAACGTGCACCATGCTGAATCCGAAAGCTCAGAATTGATATTTTGAATTTGTGAGCGCTCATTTGCTTTTTAAAATTAGTGTTCAGTCATAATCCACTTTTGCAAGTTTCGTATTCGGAAGATTTTGGTTTTGATACGTTGTGTGTGACGGTGGTCTGTTGTCTGTTAAAATTGGTGGTTTCAAAATTTCCATCCGAAAGTACGTTATATGGAATGGGAAACATATAGATTTATGTTTATTGTTTATTTATGGTTTATTTTCAGCCAGTCGTAGCGACAGCCGATCGCCAATATCGGTGACAAAAATAGCTGTTTTTACACGGATTCAATATATATATATATATATATATATATATATATATATATATATATATATATATATATCGATCGAAAGATGCCATACTCTTCAGGGAGTATAGCGCTTGCATAAAGTAAAATATTTGAAGCAATCCATCACTTTCTAGAGAAAGTTGATGGAGGGGTCATACACCAGCTTGCACCTAAGGAGTTACACATCCGGTCTAGTTTTTACCTCAACCACTTTTAAGTAGAAGATAACAATTTGAATTTCATCCTCATTTTGTCTTTTGATTATAGGTTTCTTGATAATCTTACTTGAGATTGATCTGCTCATGCAGGATCATCTTAGACATGATGAACGCTGAAGTACTCACTTGCGGTACTCATGTATCTGGTTATTCGGAAAATGTTTTGTGCTCTGTGCTCACCCCCCCCCCCCTTCACCTTCAGGACCTCACACTGTGACGTTTTAAAGAAAATCAGACTTTGCTGGAGAGTTCTTGTCTTTCGAAAGCTATACGCCCGACTTTCTGCGTTTGCACGACTATGCGTCACACGCAACTTGACAGCAAATTTTGGATCTTGATAGCCCTCTTTTTCTGAGTTATAATTTCCACAAGGCTGGTATTTGGCTCCAAATTTTCAATGTAGCAAGAAGAGACTTTGTGATCAATACCTACCTGAAAAGGAGCGATTTCTGAATTGAAAGCAAGCTAAAGGGGTAAGGCCTAAGGCTACAAAAGCTCAAGCAGCCTGACCTTTTGAGGGGTTACGCATGACCCCCTTGTTCCAAAGAAGCTCTTCCGCCCATGTTTTATGTGAGCTAGCAAAATCCTCCATTCTACAGTACTATTTGTGCTTGCTTTGAATTGTTTCAGCCTTGTGGTAATCCGTGGAGTTAGAACCTAGGCGAAACATGCGCGGTTGAAACTTTAGCAGCATTCCTTACTCTATTATTGAAATACGAAGCCTGATTTCTAGCGTATTCCTTCGTAGGCTGGTAGAGGACATTACTTTGTTATGAGTAAAATAAAGCTGACTCTTTCACTTTTAGAACCGAAATCATATTCAAAGATCAACCTTTTCAAACGTTGTGAAAACTAGAAAATGTGATAGGTAAGGGTTTTCAGAGCTCATAGAGGTAACTTGCCATGCTGATTACGGAATTGATACCCATTTTACACAGCAAGATTTCTTAGTGACCTTGCGATATGTTAGGCAGGAGATGAAGATTCGAGTTTTGGCGGATACTTCAATTATGGATCTCAATCAGTATGCAGTTAACGACCGCCATTCCTTCAGTACATATGAAGTTGCGATATTTACTAGGCGCTTTTCTTCTTTACCTTAATCACAGTATCTCTTGATTTTCCGATTGAATTTGATTCTCAACTAAGCTTCTTCCCTCGTAACCCCTAATTCGCCCCCCCCCCAATCGGGCACACCCGACCCCGCGCTTAACCCTGGTTAGACTTCTTAAGATTATACTTTAGAATCATCTATCTGAGAGAACCTCAGTATTACTTTAGCAGAAGCATGCCGATTTCGTTTTTTCAGCTTCTAATAGTAGAAAAAACTCAGGAAACTGTGCATACGAGTGTTTGATGTAAAGAGAGTATGCGTGACCAAGTCGGACATCTTAAAGGCAGTGTCCGGGCAAAAAGTCGATTTTGAGATTTTGTGCTTACCCGGGCCTATTCACTACGCTGAATCCGAAAATACACACTGGAAAGCACGAAAACGGCGGAAAAGGGCTCTAACGTGGGAGGGAAATTAGAAGTGGGCGGGGTCTTCCCCACTGTGAATTTCGCGGTCCCAGCTGCTTCTGGAGCAATCTTCCCAATTCCGCTAGCACTCTAAGATCTTCACAGGCCAGGTGCGAATGCATGACTTGAGATTGGAATCGAGAAGATCGCTCCGGAAGCTTGGAGCGTGAATCCACATTGGGGAAGACCCCGCCCACTTGCTGATTTCCGTCCAGCATTAGGGCCCTTTTTCGCCGTTTTCGCGCTTTCCGGTGAGGATTTTGGGATCCAGCATGTCGAATAGGCCCAGATAAGCACAAAATCTCAAAATCGAGTTTTTGGCCGGACACTGCCTTTAAGGATTTTTTTGGACGAGATAAGATTCCTTTCGATTTTCTCAAGCATTTAGTGCCTTTTGCAATTTTGCTTCATACTTCAACTAAAACAGACTTGGTGCAAACACAATTATCTTGTAAAGTTTTCTTTGCTTCATCATAGTGCCTCATTTACACTTTTTTTATCGTGCTCACCTTGCCACGAGATTGCGTTAGCAGGTGATGCTACATTATTTCGTACAGCCTAGTATACAGGGTGCGCCAAAAATATTTGCGTCAACTTTGCATGAGTGCTGCAAAGAAACTACTCATAGTAGTTTCCAAGTCTCCTCTCTTCTTAACCTCGGCATTGTTAGTTAGTATGTTGTGAGTAGTTAGTAAGCCAATCGAGGTTAGTATTTATTAGTAAGTGGCGGCCTAACGTTTCGAGCTATTCGTCTTCTTCAGAGGCCTAAAGTGGTAAGAGATTTATGATTTTATGTCTACCCCACCAAAAACCTCCTCCATCCCCGGCTAGCCTCGACGTTGCCCCAGAATGCTACAAACAAAAACTCCATAACGTGAAAGACGAACCAACCTCCTCCACCGCCGGCGCGCAGATGTTGAAAGCGGCCGTCCTTCAGTGCCACTGATACCAATAATGGAATACACTGTATACCATATTCGAACTAATCAGTGGTCTTTCAACTCACATAACGTCACGAATGGCATAAAGTCATTTGTGATTGACATACACTCATTTCGGCTGTTCATGTTAGGATTTCTTGCGAAAATCCAGAACGCCTCGAGAGCCTTTCTAATGGCAGTATCGTATTCGTATGCCAGTATTACACATCTGATCTCGAAGTCCTCACCACCGTGGACTTCAACTTTATGTTTACCGAGAGGAGTGGTGAGGCTTCCTCGCCTTTTGCTGGCAAGATGTTCTTTTAATCTAACTCCCAACGGTCTCCCAGTCTCTCCGATATAAGTGACGCTGCATTCGATACATTCGATCTGATAGATTACACCTGTCTTACCGCAGTCACCAACTTTACCGGATGGACAAACTACGCAGTCTTGGATTCTGCAGTAGTTGTCGTACAGCCTGTTACGTACTAATCGCTTCCTGATGTTATCACTTGGAACGTCAATCAAAATGACATCGTTTTCGAGGTTCGCGTGTTTAATGCATCGTCGCACTATAGCACTAGTCGCGTCAGAGACGAAAGGAAGGCAGAGGGGTATTTTCTGTTCGGTGCTGGTTGCTGTTTATGGTAATAGATGGTCCACCACGTCCGTTTCGGAACGTGTAGCCATTTATTCGAGCAATATCCAGCGCCCATCTCCGCGACTCCTTCCGTTCTTCTTCTCCTGTGCATACATTCGTTGCTGTTTTGAGCATAGCAGTGGTATCAACGCAGAGTATAGTAATCGGATGTGCGGAGCGAGCATTAACCAAGATGTTCTTGGAACTCTCTTTGCGATACCATTTTACATTCGCAGCGCCGTTAACCAGTTGGATTTGTACGTTGAGATAAATAAGCCAACCATTTTTCGGTTGCTGCCGTGTAAACTTTATGTACGTGACTGTTGGTTGAGTAATCGGAAACACTCATCCATTTCGGATTGTGTTGATGTTATAACGCAACAGTCGTCTATGTAACGGCAGTACATTAGAGGTAAACGCGACAGCACTGGTTCCTCTATTACTCATAAAGCAGATCGCAAGTACTGGAGCAAGTCTTTGTCCCATCGCAAGACCTCTCAGCTGAGTATAGTATGTCCCTGACCATTTGAAGATGTTACAAGAGAGGCACTCTTTGATCAGGATCATAACCGATCGTTTACTCAGGCCGAAAGTCTGGATCTTCTCACCAAGGTTACTCAACATTTCCGAAACAGCCTGTAGAGCGTCGTCGTTTTGAACGTTAGTGTACAATGACACTACGT